CCTTACACTTGGTGCATCTCAACTGTGAATGCTCCTTGCCCTGCTATTTGCGTGGTTTGTTCTTTCACCTCCTTTAAGTCTTTAACTTCTCAGTGGCCTTATTTTGCTCCGCTGGCTGCCTTATTAGACTTTAATCCCCATAAGGGCAGGGAATTTTGTCTGTCATGTTCTCTACTGTGTCTATAGCACCTAGAACAATGGAGTAGGTAGGCACTCCATAAATCTTTGTTGGCTGTATGTTTAAAGCATAGGTTAGTGTATTAGGCTGTTCTTGCATTGCTAAAAAGAAATAGAGACTGAGCAATTTATAAGAAAAGAGGTTTAATTGGCTTATGGTTCTGCAGGCTGTACAGGAAGCATAGCACCAACATCTGCTTCTGGGGAGATCTCAGAGGAGGCAGATGTTGGCTCTTACAGGGGAAGATGCAGCAGGAGCAGGCACTTACACATGGCGAAAGCAGGGGCGAGAGACTGAAAGTGTGTGGGGGGAGGTGCCACACGCTTTTAAATGAGCAGATCTCACGTGAACCCAAACAAGGGTTCACTTATTATCAAGGGGGTGGTCTAAGCCATTCATGAGGGATCTGCCCCCATGATCCAAACACCTCCCACCAGGCCCTATGTGAAACATTGGAGATTGCAATTCAACATGAGATTTAGGTGGGGACAAATGTGTAAACTATATCAATTAGTAAATATGAGATCCTAGCAGGGTTCAGCTGATGCCAAAGCTAATGTGGATGCTTCATGCAGTGTCCACATATGTAGAGAAAGAAATTTATTGTAGGAATTGGCTCATGCAACTATGGAGGCTAACAAGTCCAAAATCTGCAGAGCCAGTGCAGCTCCAGTTTGAAGGCCTGCAGGCTGCCATAGCACCGGGAAGAGCTAATGTCCGGTTTGAAAGCCATCAGGTGGAATGCTTGGGAGAGGGTTGGCTTTTTGTTCTATTTAGGCCTTCAACTGATTGGATGAGCCCATATACGTCAGGGAGAGAAATCTGCTTTACCCAGTGTACTAACATTTAAATCTCATCCAAATACATCCTCACCAAAATACCCAGAATAATGTTTGGCCAAATATCTGGGCACCTTGTGGCCCAGTCAAACTGACACATAAAATGAACCATCACAGTATGCTTCTCAGTCCACACCTGGAGACCTTGAATCTTGTCCCAACACCATCTTTCAGAGACTGTCCTATTGACACTGTGACAACCAGGGTATCTGGGACAGAGTTGAAGAAGCTGGGGGTGTTGTCCTGAAGAAGCAAACACGTGATTGAGGTCAGGTGACACTTTTAAACACTCGAAGTCTTCTCTCACGAAAGAAAGATGAGGGAATTCTTTAGTCTGGTAGCATGGTTCAGACTAGTGTTTAAAAAGTGAATCTAACAGAACAGAAATCTGTCTTGGGAGCCAGCGAGTTCTTCTTTCTGGAAGGGGGCAGGCAGAGGCCAGCTGTGACCAGGAGTCAGAAGTCTTAGGTTCTGGTCTGGCCCTGGTGCTGACTTTTGGCCTTGGGTAGGCCATTAGCCTCTCTGAGGTTTCCTCCTCTCTGCTTTAGAGGTCACAGTAGCCCGCCTCACAGTTCTGCAGATCAGATGGAAATAACATCTGAACAATACCTTCTAAAACAACACCTTCTAAAACTCAGCTGTAGCCTTGCCAGGGTCAGGAGAGCTGGCAGTCAGGAGGAGAGTACTGGCTCACTTGTTGCTGAAGCTGAAAATTTCCACTGACCTGCAGTTGGGGATACCTCACTGCAGCTTTGCTTTCTTCTTATTGGAATGTGCCTGAGGAGTGGCAATTAACTCCAGTTCCAAATTCCTCAGCCCTGAGTATGAACCTTATTGCTGCTGGCCAGGTGAGGAGGATGATGCCTGGAGGGAGCAGAGGGAGTTCTTCCTTCTCCAGGAATCAGCCCCATCACCAGCTTCATCACGGCATCGCTCTTTAATTACTTCAGGACGCATTCCAGAGTTGCCATTGTTACCTTCTGTATTTGTGCTGTTTGCTTTCTTGCCTCTGGAATGCACCAGTGTGATATATCCTGCTTTCCGCTCTGAAAAAATGTACTCTGTGTGTAATGTATTTAAAGCCCAATTGCCGTAGTTTATGGCCACAACATGAATGAGAAACAAGAAGCGGACATCCAGGGTTTCTCGTCTAAAACATTCAGAACTGTGCTGGCAGCGGGACAAAGGCCTTGATAAAAATGCCTTTTTAGTACAAACGAAAAGACGATTTTACTACAGTGCAAAAGTCAAAAAATTAGGTAAACATTGTTGGAAGTTCAGTGTTGATGAGTAGCTAAGCCTCAGAGAAGTTACACTTAGGTGGGCATGGTGATTTTTTTTGGCAGGAAAATGGCTCAGGAGTTTTTTCTTATTCGGGCGACATCAAAACATGGTCAGAGCTACATGTTCCACTCTGGTTTTGTTTATAACTTATAACTGGCATCAGGACATTCAGAAAAGATTGTGACTGCACTTGACAGCACTGATACGTAGTAAGTGCAGTCAGTGGTAGCCGTTGTGAGTAGCTATGGTTTACACCCAGTTTATTAATGATTAATTCAGGGCTTCTCAAGCCAATACAACCCAGAAAGGCAAGACACTCTTACTAAATCCTAAACAGACTAATTTCTAGCATAGAAAGGGCTATCAATTTGGGGATTCAAACTGAGAATCCAGTAGATGTTTCAGTGGCAGTGATCATCAGTCTAAAGGGTAGAGAAGGATTTCTCAGTCTCTATACTACTTACATTTTGGATAATTCTTTTTTTTTTTTTTTTTAGATGGACAGGGGGGACAGTGGCACAATCTCTAGCTCACTGCAGCCTCCGCCTCCCAGGTTCAAATGGCTTTCCTGACTCAGCCTCCTGAGTAGTTGGGATTACAGGCATGCACCACCATGCCTGGCTAATTTTTGTATTTTTAGTGGAGGCAGGGGTTTCACCATGTTGGTCAGGCTGGTCTCAAACTCCTGACCTCATGATCCGCCTGCCTCAACCTCCCAAAGTGGTGGGATTACAGGTGTGAGCCACTGTGCCCGGCCCTTGGGTGATTCTTTATTGTGGGATGCTTCCCTGTGTATTGTAGGATGTTTAGCGGTATCCCTGGCCTCTACCCTGTAGATGCTAGTAGCACCTCCCTCCCAGCTCTGACAAGCAAAAATGTTACTACACACGGCTGCTGAGTGTCTCCTGGGGGACAAAATCACACCTGGTTAAGAACCACTGGTGCAGAGGAAGCTGTGAGGTGCCCCACAGTGGGCCTGTTCTCTAATAGCCGATCACTCAGTGTTCGTTAAGGCTGGAGTTCTCAAACGTGGCTAAACGCTGGAATCACCTTGGGTGCTTTAAAAAAAATTCTAATGCCTAGAACCCACATGAAAGATTCTTATTGGCCTGGAGTGTGGTCCGGGCATCAGAAGATCTAGAAACTCTCCAGGTGATTCCAGTTTTCAGCTTGCAGCATTAGTAGGTCATGGAATCAATTAAGTGAAGTACTTTTTTTCCCAGCATTTTCAGAAGATACCTTTATATAATTGTATAGAAAATATTAATACCTAGCACAGTCGCTGGGTAAATATAATTTTGTGCATGTTAAAGTTGAAAACACTGCTGTAAGTGATAGAACCACAAATAAAATCCCTGCCCTTGCTTCTTAGTCTTCAGAAACTGCTCGCTTTTCGTTATAAATAAATGGTTCATGTGAAATTTAATACAAGACATTTATAGTTCTATGACTTGAGAATTTGTGAGCCTTTTTGCCCGCATTTTGAGATTTCAGCATGACATTGATAAAATCAGTTATTTTATAAATGCTAGCCAATAAAAATGGCATGCATATTTTCACCAGCAACTAAATTTGATTATAGCACAGCAACAAGATGACGATTTTCCTCCTTTGTGTGTGTTAATTATATACACACCATGATATGCTAGGTCAGCAGTGGTCTAAATACGTCCAGCAAGAATGAGGCACTTGCATAAATCATCCTGAAAGTTTTATTAGATTAGTTTAATAGCCTCTTGACTTCATTATCTGTGGGAATTTGGGGGTCTTACAAAATAAACTGTTACAAACATTCATCTTACTGCTATGAGATAGAGTAATGTGATAGAAGGCTGGCAACCTTTGGCCATTCTTATCTCAGTACTCAGGAGAACATAAACCAAGAGCACTCTTACTGTGTCCCTATTGTGATGACTCTGTCGGCAGATGCCGCAGCTGTGGAAGACCTGAAAGTCGTGTTCAGTTGCTAGAAGGACTTTGGGATCACTTGTCTTTTTTTTTTTTTTGAGACAGAGTCTCACTCTGTTGCCTAGGTGGGAATGCAATGGCCCTATCTTGGCTCACTGCAACCTCCGCCTCCTGGGTTCAAGAGATTCTCTTGTCTCAGCCTCCTGAGTAGCTGGGACTACAGGTGCATGCCACCACACCTGGCTAATTTTTTGTATTTTTTAGTAGAGATGGGGTTTCATTGTGTTAGCCAGAATGGTCTTGATCTCCTGACCTCGTGATCTGCCCGCCTAGGCCTCCCAAAGTGCTGGGATTACAGGTGTGAGCCACCACGTCCAGCATGGGATCACTTGTCTGGATCCTGAAGCTTGTTATAAGCCCATAAGAACATTGATCGAGACTTCCCACTTGACTTGAAATACGTTCGTTGGAAAATTTGGTCTCCACTTAGATTTCTTGGAAATAGCAGTGATAATTCTTATGATGACTCAATGCACAATACAGCCCATCATCACAAGGTTCTTTCAAGGCTCAAAGGGACATCCTGCACTGGTAGTTTTGCCATTGTCTGGGAGGACTAGGCTTGGGATTATTTCTTGAATCAGCTGCTTTAAAAAGCTGATCTGCCTGTGGAACAAAGGAAAGAGGTTCGATTGACAAATACCCATTAGTTGTCTGAGAAGTGCTTTCTCTAATTATGATTCAGCTCTGGTGACTCTACCATGTTAAATATGCGCTTCTGTTTCCTCTAGGTGTCTGAGGGTTCTGTGGTCCAGTTTTCATCAGGAAACTTCTCCTTGACAGCAGAAACAGAAGAAAGGAACTTCCCCCATGGAAATGAACATCTGTTAAATTGGGCCCAAAAGGAGTATGGAGCAGTTACTTCATTCACCGAACTCAAGATAGCGAGAAACATTTATATTAAAGTGGGGGAAGGTAAGGTTTATGTGGCTTCAGTTAATGGCTGATTTATGACAGGCAATTGCTTTCTTTTCTGAAACCAGGTGGTTAGGGGAAGGAATGACAGAATTACAGAATGTTGGAATTGGCAGGGACCTGAGGGGTCATTTGGCCCCAGGCTCCGAACCCTCCCATGTTCCCGCCCTTCTTTTTCCTCCTAGGGAAGCAGGCCTGGTTATGGCCAAGTGAAAAATAGGGAGGAGCATGGGGAGAAAGGAGGAGGTTGTGTGGGATTTAGAAGACACCCACACACAGAAGTCAAAAAAAGCAAATGCAGGCTAGAAGCTGAGGGTGTGGGAAGGAGCTGACGACTGATGGAGTGGAGGAGTTGGCAGAATGGGTGAGCAGGTGGTTTCCTCTTACCTGTGTTCTGCAAATGTTTGAAGCCAGTGTTAGTCTGTGGTGCTGAGACACAGGTTACATTTCGGACAAAGCAGAGGAAAAGTGTTTAAATATATTTTTAGTACAAATGACTATTACAAGGACAAATTATTGGAAAAAAGAAGTGTATAGTCTTGATAAGAGATTGTCTTATTAATTTAAATTTCCTTACATTGCAGAGGGATAGAAATATCCAGAAACTCAATTTTGAAAGCCTTTTATTTTGGAGACAGTCTTGCCCTGTCACCCAGGCTGGAGTACAGTGGCGTGATCTCAGCTCACTGCAGCCTCTGCCTCCCAGGTTCAAGCAATTCTCCTGCCTCAGCCTCCTGAGTAGCTGCAATTACAGGCACCTGCAACCATGCCTGGCTAATTTTTGTAATTTTTTTTTTTAGTAGAGACAGGGTTTCACCATGTTGGGCAGGCTGGTCTCGAACTCCAGACCTCAGGTGATCTACCCGCCTCAGCCTCCCAAAGTGCTGGAATTACAGGTGTGAGCCACCACGCCTGGCCTGAAAGCCTTTAAAAAAAAAAGAAACTTTCTCTTTCCCTCCCTCCCTCCCCCCCCCCCCCCCCTCCCCTCTCCCCCCTCCCTCCCTCTCTCCCCTCCCTCCCTCTCTCCTCTTCCTCCCTTCTTTCTCTTTTCTTCTCTTTTCTTTTTCTTTTGTCAGGGTCTCGCTCTGTCGCCCAAGCTGGAGTGCAGTGGTGTAGTCACTGCTCACTGCAGCCTCAACCTCCAGGGCTCAGGTGCTTCTCCTGCCTCAGTTTCCCGAGAAGCTAGTACTACAGGCATATGCCATCACACCTGGCTAATTTTTATATTTTTTTGTAGACATAGGTCTTGCTATGTTGCCCAGGCTGGTTTTGAACTGCTGGCTAAGAGATCCTCCTCCCTTGTTCTCTTAAAGTTCTGGGATTATAGACGTGAGCCACTGCACCTGGCCAGACCTGTTTTTTTTTTTTTTTTTTTTTAAATCATTATTTTCACTAGAGTTATTTCCCCCCCCCCCCCCCCATAAGTTACTAGGAAATAACTCTTGTGAAAGGGTCCTTGTTACAGCCAGGTGATTGTGTGAACACTGCGTTTCAGGTCTTCAGCATCCAGCTGCTTTCTGTTAAATTCTACAGCAGCTGTCACCCCCTCCACAGACAAGACAGGGAAGGGTGGGCTTGTGAACCCTTGATCCCAACTCTTGTTTGGATCTGGGCTGTTTTCAAGTGTGTGAGCGACAGAGGCAGGAAAGGTGAGGATGCTACGTGCAAAGGCCATTTCAGGGGCCTTCACATGCACCCCACAGTAATCCCAGGAGGCAGACGTCATTTCCACCATTTTACAGAGGGCTTAGTAGAGGGTTAAGTGAACCTGCTCACATCCAAGTTACTAACAAGTGGCAAAGCCAGAACACAAACCCAGGCTTCCTGACTCTTGAGGTTAATGCTTGTTGCCTGAGCTGCACTGTAAGTCTTAGCCAAATAAGCGTAACTCAGAAAGGAAAGTGGTCCACCTGGATGAATGTCCTTGTTTAGTTGAGGCCAAGACGAGGGGGTTTAGATGAGGCTTGGGCTCAAAAAATCTCTGTTTGTTTCTGTACTCTCATGAGAGTAGCTAATAGCAGAGGTCAAATCCCGTTGAGACAAAATGAAAAATCCCTTTTAATAAAGACTGTAAGTCCTGGCCAGTGGGCTGCATTTCTGAAGCAGAATTCTAGTAGCATGAAAGAATGTTGATTACCCCTTGGAATTTGTTAGAATAAGAAAATTGGTTATAACAACATTTAGAATGTTGGACTGTGTTCTCTTGGCTGTGCAGGAGCTGCTTTCTACGCACAGCAGTCACTTGCCCTGAGAGCCAGGAGTTGTCACTTAACTGGTTAAGCTTGTATACACTGGGTAGGGGAAGCTAATGGAAAGGACCTGGTGTCTGGTGCAGTAAAAACTGGTTAACTCCTTGGTAACACCTTCGGAACCCCTGAAACTTGACTCCAGCCACCAGTTGGGTATAAGTCACTGGGCCATGCCATGGAGAGAGAAACAGTAGGGAAATGAGGTTCCTTGGTGAGGTCAGTGGACCATAAAGTGATATTGTTTATCACCGCAGCTCAGACTCCACTGAGCAAGCCTCATCAACCCCTTCCTAGAATCCGACCTGGCTCTACTCTCCTTTCAATCAGGGATCGCAGGCCACGAGGCCTAGTTGCTCTAACCCCAGCAGTTCTCAGAGTGTGGTTTCTGCCCTAGCAGCATCTGCATCGCTTGGGGACTTGATAGAAATGCCAGTTCTCAGGCCCAACCCACCCCGGACCAACTGAATCAGAAACTCTGGTGGTGGGACCCAGCAGTCAGCGTTTCAATCAGCCCTCCAGGCGAGCTGATGCTTGCTGACATTTAGGAACTGCTCTCATCTATATACCCAGAGTGGAAGGATTTAAGAGTTTTACTCTTATCCCAGCTGGTCTCGCCATGAGGCTTCAAGCGACACTTGACTTACCGCCAGAGCCTCGGTTTCCACAGCAGGAAAGTGAGGTGTTTGCATTACCCCCCAGCTTCATTCCTGCTCTCAGAGTATTTCCTTCTGGGTCTCAAAGTCATTTGTCAGTCTTTTCCTAAAATACAAATAAGCATGTGACTCCCCCCACCCCCAAACTTGCCAGGTTTCTGCCCAGGAATTCCCTTTTGCGGTTTCCTTTCTACTTGGCGCTCGGTGTCAGTTTTGATGCCAGGCATTCAGAAAGTCAGTGGGGAGCAGGGGAGAAGCCACACACAAAAGTGATCAGCTTACTCAATTTAGTGACAATGGCATCTGGGACTAGAGCCCTTAACGTCAACCTTTGAACAATTAGACCTTTTGTCGTGACTTCACATGGGTACTTTGTTACTTGTCTCAAATCTCACATCATTGTTTGGTAATTCAGGAAACCTATACCATATGCCCACTATGTGCCAGATACAAGCCAGGCACACCTAGGAACTGGATATGCCGGCCACAATCCCAGGAGGGTCCTAGTCTCTTGAGTTCCAGACTGGCCTGTCCATGGCCCATACACACTCTTACTTAATTAAATTTCAGCCCTGCCATTCCAATATCATTTTCCATCCTGTGATGTGGGGGAGGCATCCGCAGCGCTGCAGCTGCACGGTGTGCATACCTCATCTGCTCATCTGGCAAAACCCTCAGCAGATGTGGAGGGAGGCTGCTCTAACGGCCTGAGTCAGTGGAGCCTTGAGCTTTTCTCTCTGAGTGGGAGGGGAACTAGAGGTGACTGTAGAGTGCAAACACAGTGCTCTCTTGCAAGGAGCCCACAAGCAGAGGCTTGTGAACTGCTCTGGTCCTTTTTGATCTGGGGTAGTGCCCGGGGTGCTGTGGTGGCCAGAGCCATGATGCCCCAGTGAGTGCTGCAGACCTCAGCACAAGGGAAATTGCACAAGTTGGGGAGAGGGAGGGACAGTATCAACCCAGCCTTGGGATCCCCTGATTGATTCCTTACTCCCAAGTGAGACTTTCATGTGGATTTGAACCCTGGCATCCTGACCTGAAAATGAAAAAGGCAGAAGTCTGTTTTATAATGGTGCCAGGGCTCTGATTAATTATCCCTTCTGAAACAGCATGCTACACCTAGAACTTCCTTGACACTGGTCCCAGCTGTCACACTGCCAGCAGTTTCTTTCAAGTTCTGTTGAAACATTTAAGCCCATGGATGGAAATCCCATCAGCCGCCGTGCCGTGTAAATGGCATGTGCCGTTGGGGGAGTGTCCTCAGACTCTGCTACTTACATCACGTTCCCGAGTGGAGGTGGTGAGCAACTCTCAGCACAGCGAGATGTTTGTGAAAGCACTGTGTAAACTGTAAAGTGCCGTATAAACCTTAGTTGTCTGTATTCAGATTGTGAGAAAGAGTGAAGCTCTGCCTTCTTTGTTTCCCCTAAACTTCTACCTTTCATCTTCAGAGTAGAAAGTGCTGTGAGGAATAAATATAAGGGAAAGATTAATTCTACAGGGGGCGTCGAAGAATTAGTTAGGTGGTTGATTCTCCTGATATTTGAAATAACAAATATCCAAGGAGGAGTGTATTTGGGGATAGAATGGATTGAATGTTAAATACGCTGACCATGAAATGTTTCACTATTGAATTTTTAGGTAGGAGACGCTTGGTAGACAGATGACAGTATAAGTCTACAGCTCAGAAAAGGAGTCATGATCTAGGTGCAGGCTGAAACCATGGGAGTGATTGATATCACTGAGGAAAAGAATAAGAAGACAGAGGGTTGAGGAAGGAGCTGAGAAGTTCTTAGCCTCGGTTTATATTGGAATCAACTACAGAGCTTTTCAAAAAAGAAAGCTGCCTAGGCCCCGCCTGGGTGTTCTGAATCAGATTCTCTGGGATGGGGTCTAAACAGATCCTGAGCAGAGGAGGTGCCAGTGGGAGAGATGTGAAAGATAGGTCAGAGGAAATGGATGAGGACAGGAAGTATCACAGAGAGCAAGCAAGGAGAGGACTTAGCCGAAAGAGGCCCCTCACTGGGGGCTAGTCAATAGCAGGTCACTGGTGACCATAACAGGATGCATTTCAGGGCAGTGGTTGAGGAATTCACAGACGAAGGCCCATCCTTTGAGCTCATGGTTTCCTGTGTCCTCCATTTGCTCTGTTTGACTGTCACCCTCCTTCCTTTGAATCTGGTCACCAAGTAGCTCAGTGGTTTGACAGATTGACCTGTGCCTCTTTCAGATCAAGTGTTCCCTCCCAAGTGCAACATAGGAAAGAATTTTCTCTCGCTCAATTACCTTGCTGAGTATCTTCAGCCTAAACCAGCAGAAGGGTGTGTGATGTCCAGCCAGCCCCAGGATGAAGAAGTACACATCATCGAGCTAATCACCCCCAACTCTAACCCCTACAGGTAAGCCAGTCTAAGTGTGTGAGTGTGAGAAGAGATGAAAGTAAAGATCTTCCTTGACTTGAGGCAGGGAGAGTTGCAGCCCATCCTACATAGGAGGGAAGGGAGCCATTGATGTGTCAGGTGTGTTGCGTCAGGCGTGTTTCACAGAAGCTTTGAAGAAGAGAGTAAAGGCACCAGTGGTATATTTTATATTTTGCATCTGTCTCTAGATCCTGGCTATTCCAGATGAATTCCTGAAGCCTGTTCTGAACATCTGAGTGTTAATTACAGGACACCATCACTCTTGCTTCATCTTTCTCACCTGCCTAAGATTATTTCTGATAGGAAAGTTATAAGATATGCCCTATTAATGTAATTATGATCTTAGTAACATTCTGGGTTGTTGTTGCTGTTTGTTTTTCTCAAGACAGAGTCTTGCTCTGTCACCCAGGCTGGAGTGCAATGGTACGATCTTGGCTTACTGCAACCTCTGCCCCTCGGTTCAAGGGATTCTCCTGCCTCAGCTTCCCGAGTAGCTGGTATTATAGGTGCATGCCACCATGCCTAGCCAATTTTTTGTATTTTTAGTAGAGATGGGGTTTCACTATGTTGGCCAGGCTGGTCTCAAACTCCTGATCTCATGATCTGCCCACCTCAGCCTCCCAAAGTGCTGGGATTACAGGTGTGAGCCACTGTGCCCAGCCCTACATTCTGTTTTTAATAAAGCTCTGCTTATGGTGTCCCCAGAGCACTTAGACACTCAGAGCTGTTTGCTTTAAATCTGTGTGTGTGTGTGTGTGTGTGTGTGTGTGTGTGTGTGTGTGTGTCCGTCCGTGTCCGTGTGCTGGAGTGGCCCTTCACGGTGACATGCGAAAGAGCCATTTGTTGCCTCTCCCTTGGGTGCTTGTTCTCCCTCTCAGCGTCCTATCACTGGACTGGAAATTTGACCATCGCTGTCAAGAATAATTAGCAAATTTAAAAAAAGTAAAAGGAGAAAAAGTAGGTTCTTTTCCCATTTTAGTCTGCATCTCACCCTCATTCCTGTGAATCTGGACTAGTGACTTAAAAATTTAAATTTATATCGTAGAGGAATTTTGAGGTTAAAATTCTAATCACAGTTTGACTTTAAAGGTGTATAAGCTACAGATCAGTTTTGGTAAGATTCCACTCTGTCCACTTGAAGAATTTTGTGGAAAGTGAAAAAGGAATGGGAATAGGAGCAGTCTGGTGAATGCGCTTCGATGTCAGGCCTAGGGCTTCATTGCAATATACCATGTGTTGTGTGCTTTACAAGTGTGTAAAGCTGAGATGGAAATAAAGACTGTTCCCTTAAATTCAGAATGATGGATGTTATTGTTTAGTAAAAAAAGTCTCTATTATATGAATTCTTAGAAGTTTAGGTTGTGTTCATCAATTTTCCAGTAATCACTTGGTTGACCATCTGTTTTCTTTATTTTAATAACCTTATATCCAGAAGTTTAGGAAAGTAAATGCAGATATGATTCTGTAGCAGTTGTTAATGGCTTAAGCAAACCTTACATAAATCAAGAATTTCTTTAACTTTTTGTCTCTTTATTCTGAAGTTTCCTAATTTTTTTTATCAGCATGTTTCCCTGCTCCCCATCCCCCCACCAACTCACCAAACTGCCACCTACTTCTGTTTTGAAGGAATCTGGACATGTACCCAGATTGGAAACCTGTACATCAACGGTGTTAAAGGTTGAAAAAGCAACAATACTGTGTCAAAAGTAAACTTTTCTGGTTTGTTCAAGTCCACTTCAAACAGTGGCTGCATTAAGTAACCACGATTTTTTTCCCCCAAAGAAGAGAAAAACTTTAGTGACTGATTACCAGCAAGCATATGTTTCTATTGTTACGTAAAACAATTTCGGTATGTGTGCAGTAACAGTCTGTTTTGCACATGTCATTGGCCTGGGATCAACTCCAGCTTTTTAATCAACTGGCCAGACACTAGAAACACGAAGACTTGGAAGAGGGGAGATAGTTGCAACTTTCTGGCATTTAGGTCTTAACTTTGCCTTTGTTTTCCATTCACAGTGCTTTCCAGGTGGATATAACAATTGATATAAGACCTTCTCAAGAGGATCTGGAGTTGGTCAAAAATCTCATCCTGATCTTGAAGTGCAAAAAGTCTGTCAACTGGGTGATCAAATCTTTTGATGTTAAGGGAAGCCTGAAAATTATCGTAAGTTGATTGAGCATGTCTTTTGTTTAGACAAGAATTTAAGCTGTGCTTATATGTGTTATTTTAAAAGTTTCTGCCTATTTAGACTCTCTAAGCTCTCTCAATTATTTTTCACTTTGCAAAATAGGATGCTCCTATAAAATAGGTGTGGTGGTTAAAACAGGGCCTCAGATTAAGACAAACCCATGTTTGAGTCCAGGTAATCCCATTGTGACCTTTGGCAAGTCCCCTAACCTCTCTGAACCCCAGCTCCCTCATTTGTGAATTCCCTGAAATATGTCAGTATGCTTTCCACTAATACTAAGTGTAAAGTGATGAACACAATTAAATTCATATTGAGCATCCTACCAGGACCTCAGTGTCACAGTTCTGAATATCAGCTTTTATTTTAGGATTAGGTACTTAGAGAAAGTATGGGAAATTAGGCTGAGGCCAGCTCACAGCATTGGCTTTTCTTTTTGAGTTAAATGCAAAATGTTGGCCTTTTTGCTTGCTTCCAACTTCTAAGTGTGAAACACTGATAGAAGAATCACAGTAACTGTGAGGTCAGTGAAATGGTGCTGGACAAGTCTACTCCACCTTGTTCCCAAGGCCCTCTATTTAGTAGAGATGCACATATGAGGCTTAGTCCATTGGCACAATGGGCAAACAGCAGCTGGTTTCTTCAGAAGTTGAATGTTGAAACTTGGTAAAGTAAATCTTATCTTCAGTATGCTTAGTGAATAACTATTTGACTGAGTTATATTGAAAGTTAAAGAAAAAAATCCTCCTCCCTATTTTTTCAGAAGATGATTATCTCTTTAGTATCTCTTTTGTGGGCTCAAATTTTAATGCATTGTCTTTAAAATATTTTTGGCCAATTTCTCTTTTAGTACCTGCACTGAATCAGTTGAAGTGGGTTTTATGTGTTCAGTATTTTGAGAGAGGGATGCCTTTGGTTTTGGTATTATTCGTTCATTCATGGCACCTTCCATGTGATACCACCGTGAGCAAAGCCACAGTTCCCTGGGCAACGCCATGTAAAAGCACTCACCAGAGGCAGCAGGCAAAACCACTAGCACACATATTTTAATTTTAAAGTAATCATTTCTGGTTCCCGTGGGTTTTTTTTTTTTTTAAACTTTGCTAGGATCACAATGAGCCATCATATGTAACAGTGATACATTAATTTGTTGTCAAGCCAAAAGCCTAGCCATGATCTGAAGTCAGAGATGTTTTGATTGCTTTCTCTGGCATGGCATGAGGGGTGTTGGTGACCTGGGCTGTCTGCTGCTTTTGCTGCCTGGCACACCGGCCAAATGTTTTTAATTTCAGAATAACAAAAACAGGAAAGGGAATCATGCTTTGAAAGGCAAAAACATACGGTACATTTTAATTCCCTGCTGGAGTTCTTGTGTAAATATTCTTCCAGCCTTGACCCTTCAATAGCTGTTTCTCTCCCTGTGTGTGCCTGGTCCATGGCAGTCCTGAAGTTCACTTTGAATGTCCCTATCTCTCATATGAATCAGAAAGGCTAGAAATGAGATTGCTCATCCCAGTACAGAATCTGTTTATATTCCTCTCGTTGGCTGTACTCCTGTTCCAGGCCAATTTTGGACAATGCATGACAACATTACTAAACAATTAGGTAATGTTTCATGATGTTCTTTTTTATTCTCCCAACCAGTCTATGCTTTGTGATTTTCTAATTCCCTGTTTCAGATGTGAATTCTGACTGCATACTGTGAGAGAAAGTTACCTGCCCCTACAAAAGTTTAAATTAGTGTTTAGAAAGGGGACAGTGGTTTATAGAAACCTTGTTTCTAGTGTTTCCTTTAGAGACAGTGTAGTGGAATGGAAAGAATCTTGACTATGTGTCAGACAGGGCTAGATTTGAATTCCATCTCCAATTATTATTACGCCTCGTAGATATTGTGCAGTCTAACCGATGAACACTGAGTCTGTTTGGTCATCTGTGAAATGGGTATGATGATAGTACTCACCTTGAGTTTGTGGTTCATTAGCTGAGTTCATTTGTTTGTTCATTCATTTGCCAGGTACTTGTTAGGGGCCTATGGGGTATTTCACCTCAAGCCTGCACATGTAAGTTCTCAGCTACATGTGTTGCTTCTGTGAGTTTAAGGTTCTCTTTTTCTTAATGGGAACAGTAATTCCTATCTCCTTATATTTTGGAAGAGAAATAAGATAATATATGCCTAGCAGAGTGCCTGGCATAAAAAGGGGGTTCATCTTCCTTTCATAAATAACTCAGAGTGTCTATAGGAACAATTAGGGTACTTCTCTAAACAAGGTAAAAAGAAAGAAAAATGTCTACTCCTTACCTGATGGAGCTCCTTACCAATCCCTTAGTCCCTAAAGAAGAGCGCCATTAAATACGAATGTCTTATGCATGTGTGTGTTGGGGGTGGGGCATGGGCAGAGTGTGCCCTCCAGATGGCAAATGGTCAAAAGAGGTGCAAAGAGCCATGCAGTGGGCAAGAATGGGAACATTGGCGGTGTCTCCATCGCCTTGTTCAGCTCTGGCTCTTTTTTCAGGTCCTCTGTGGACTATGCGTAATCAGTTTTATGATAGGAAGAACTCTAAAACATAAAAGAATAGACAGAGGAAACTTGTTAGAGGTTTCCGCTTATACTATTTCATGTGGCCTCAGGAATTCAGGATTGATGATAGGCAGCTTGTTCCTAGAGAAGACACCCTTTAAAATCCCAGTGGAAATATGAACTATGCTGTCTGGCCAATCCCTTCCCAAATGACTCTCTGCCCTCCACTATCAGTTAAGATGCAAATATGGAGGAGTGTGGAGGCACTTAGGCTTCATTCATCATCTTTCATGGAGATACGGCTGAGAAAGATGGTGGTAATTTTTGGAGACCCCTTGTATACCTGCATTTGGAGTAGCTTCACTAAAGCTGAAAAAAGCCTAGGGACTTCCAGAAGTACAGTGTGAGAATTTGCTCAATGCTGGGAACTAACTTATCTGCCATTGACCCAAGCCTTGCTCCTTTACAAATGTGTAGATAGATGTTGAGTCTTTTGAGTTCCCAGACATAATCAAAGAGATGTACTGACAGCTCCTAGATTTAATGTGGAAAGGTGCAAACAGCTCATTCCACATTGGTGGAAAAGGACAGGTGGCAGTTATGATGATAGTTTTCTGGAAATATGATATTTTCTCAGCTGTCCAACAACATGAAAGACTAGGGCGGATGAGGGCAAGTGGTATTGTTTAGCCTAGTTGTGATTCCAGCCAATCAAAATGACATGAAGCTCTGAAAGGCTGGAAGAAGCTGTACCTAAGAAACTACTGTTGACTAAATAAATAAAAAGTTCTAAGAATAAATTAGATCTTCCATTATCTCATTTTAGCCTTCTTCCTTCTTTCCTTCCTTTCTTGTTTCTTTCCTCCCTAGCTCTTCTTTCCTCTAAGGAGTTTTTTTCTGTATTGGAGTAAGAGCTAAAATATTCTGAATGTATTAAACTGAATTTACAGATGGCTGCAGAAGTTGGTTAAAGTTCTGTCTGGCTCCTTTGCATATAGTATTTGTGACTGGTGAGTCTGGCAGCATTCCGCAGATAAGCGCTTTAGGTAACAGAAAAATATACTGAATGAGATCCCTTAAGCTTTGAGTTGAAATACGTGTGGCCTCAGCCAATATCCCACAACCACATAGGCCAAGAGAACTTAGAGCCTGTGAATCTTTTAGAGTTTTAAAGTGGGAAAGGATTAATATTTAGTCATGTTAGGGGCAAACAGAATGGGAAACAAATGAGGAATTTAGGAAAAATGCTGCATGCATGCAGGAGAAAATCATTGGACATGGAAATTAAAGTGATTTTTATACAGCATGAAAATGGCATAATCTGCATACTGGAAGGGCTTTCCAGCCCTGCTGGTGCAGTTGTTGAAAACATGATGCCTTCCCTTTGGGGGCCCCTCTGCAGCATTCAGCTCTCTCACTCTCTGACAAGAGCACTGCCACAGGAGTCAGCAGTTGATGTAGAAATTTACCTTCCCGGTTCTGGTTGAATAACCTGGTTGAGTAGAGTCCATTTATATCCTTTCCCAAAAGTATTTCTATCATTTTTATTTTGTAATTGATTATCCAGTGAAAGCTAATCTTTTTTTTGTTTTAAGGCAGGGTCTCACCCTGTCACCCAGGCTAGAGGGCAGTGGCATGATCATAGCTTACTGCAACCTCTAACTCATGGGCTCAGGTGATTCTCCCACCTCAGCCTCCTGAGTAGCTGGGACTGCAGACACATGCCACCATGCCTGGCTAATTTAAAATTTTTTGTAGAGATGGGATCTTCCTGTGTTATCCAGGCTGGTTTCAAACTCTTGAGCTCAAGCAATCCTCCTGTTTCAGCCTCCCCAAACGCTAGGATTATAGATGTGAGCCATGGCACCCATCCCTGAAGGCTAATCTGAAGACCCACTTGTATTACTGGATAAAATAGTGATACCTAAAAGTAGAGTAACCTAAATTAATTAGTTAATTAATAGTTAGAATAGAAGATGTTAAGTATGATCGGTTAATAGAATTGGCAAATGAATACAATTATAGAATTGCTAATTGATCATACATTTTAGATGAAATATAAACATTGGTTTGTTTTACTATATAGAATTTAATAGATTACATAGATGGGATAGTCTCCACACTGAAGTACAGTCTTGCACGTGTAATGATGTTTCAGTCAATGAGGGATCACGTATATGACAGTGGTCTCATCAGATTGTAATACCATATTTTTACTATACATTTTCTATGTTTAGATGTACAAATACTGACCATTGTGTTACTACTGCCTACAGTATTCAATACAGTAACATGCTGTGCAGGTTTGTAGCCTAGGAGCAATAGGCTGTACCATCTAGCTGAGGTGTGTAGCAGGCTCTACCACGTGGGTTTGTGTAAGTGTACTCTATGATATTCACACAAGGACAGAATCACCTAATGATGTATTTCTCAGAACATATCTCCATTGTTAAGTGGGTATGACTAATTGTGCTGTCTTTCATTGAAATCTAGGGGGAGAGGAAGTGGAAGCATGGGAATTTGGTATATAAACTATACGGACAGAACATACATACTTTATATGTCATTTTAAGTAAAAATAAGTATACTTTTAAGAAAGTACACTTTTTAAGAAAGTATACTTATTTTTACTTAAAATAAGTATTTTTAAGTAATATACTATATACTTTATATGTCATTTTAAGTAAAAATAAAAGTTTATTATACATATTTACTATGTGTATTAATAATTTAAACATTAGACTATATAGTTATAGACTAGGTTTACTTAGTATGTAACTACTTACATGTGATGGGATGATTTTTTTTTTCAGCATAGGGAATACAAATAGTATGATCAAGCAGCATGCATAGATGTCTTTAATCTACTATTAAAGGTTTTTTACATCATCGTTCTTAGCCCAAAGAAAATAGGGATCAAAAGAATAAATAATTCCCTCATACACAATATAGAATCTACTTATTTAAGATATTTAACTTTTATTATCTAAAGTACTGTTTAATTTTAGACTCATGAGTGAATTTTTGCTATTATCTTCAGGCTCCTAACAGTATTGGCTTTGGAAAAGAGAGTGAAAGATCTATGACAATGACCAAATCAGTAAGAGATGACATTCCTTCAACCCAAGGGAATCTGGTGAAGTGGGCTTTGGACAATGGCTATAGTCCAATAACTTCGTACACAATGGCCCCTGTGGCTAATAGATTTCATCTTCGGCTTGAAAACAATGGTAAGTTAGAGCATTTTTTAAAGTTGTATAAAAAATATCCCCAAATGAAGCTTTTCCAGTGATGAATGCTCATTTCAGCTTATATGTTACTATTTTTCTCTTACACATTTTAGTAAATTGTTTGACTACTTTTTATCAGGAGGCTTAAAATTGCCTTGAAAGAGATTTTGAGGAAACGAATACAGATTTTTGGTGGCATAGTTGAATGCATATTCAGAGAACTGTGTTATAGATTATCTTCAGTGTGATTACAGTAGGTTCTTCTCTCCGAGGCACCTAATGACCACTTATGGCTGAGAATACAGCAGAGTTAACACTGCAGGAAAGAAGTTCATGGTCAAAGCCTGTATCTTTTAACAAAACAGCCACGAGGACTCGTACCTGGGCGTTCATACCCAGAGGGAAGGCAAGATGAAGGGGAAAGCAGAGGCTCAACAAATTCTTGAGGTTTTCCAGAGTCTCATAGCTAGCGTGACTTCAGACTCTAGTTTTGTGATCTCCAGATTTGTTCCTCAGCCCATGACACTGCCACTGAGTGAAATGCCAGTGGAATAAAGATCAGGAGTACAGGTTCAAGCCCCAGCTCTGCCATTTAGTCACTGTTTGGGGAGAAGTCACTTCACCTCTGGGCCATAGATTCTTCTTCAGTAAGAAGGGGGAAATAATAGGACTGACCTTACAGGGCTGTTGTGAAGGTTTTTGTTAAAGTACAAATTAAAAACCTTACAAAGCTGTGACTTCTTTTGGACCCATACAGCTGTAGCATCTTTTCCCAAGAATATTATTAAAGGAGAGGTAATGTCCAACTGTCATCTTCACTTCCAGCGTCCACTGAGGTAGATTTGCTCTCAAGTAGACATCAGTTGGCCTTAGATAGTAGATGCAAAGAATACTGGGGAAATTATCATTATTTTTAATTGTTGGAAATATGACAAAATACTGAGAATTGATTGTATGGAAATACATCTCTACCTTTGAAGGAGTAAATGTGTCTATGCGGTTCTTTCTTATCTTTCAAGGGACTAGGTTCTAAAAGTCCAGAGTGCCCAGACACCTGTTAGAATTTAGCTGTCAAAAAGAAGGTGACAAAGCAGTTTTAACATACCAATATTGTTTTAAGACACCCTTAGAGAAACTAATCAAAAGAATCTCTTGATTCAAGGGAAGTTTTTTAGTGGCATTTGAATGGAATAATATTGCCCCATATAACTTATTCAAGTCACAGATTTTTCTAGCCTGGACAGCCTTAGAAACTGTCTACTCCATTGGCTCTCAGCCACAGGTGCTCACTGCAGTTACACATGGGGAGCTTAAAACATGTTAATGATTGAATACCACCCCAGAGAGTCTGAGTTTCAATTATTTGGGTACAAGCCGGGCATAGGAATATTTTTTAAAGCTCCCAAGTGATTTTCATGTGTAGCCAAAGTTGAGAACCACTGATCATTTCCAACCCCTTAATTTAAAAAACTGGAAAAGCAAATTTGAGGCACAGAGAAGCAAGCCCCCTGTCCAAAGCCACTGAGCTAGTTCGAGAAAACACCAGGACTAGAATTCTGGCTTCACGGCTTCTAATGGCTTTTATACATTGCTTATTAAGAATCATTTTACACCTGCCCATTCTATACTAATTCCTCCTGTTCTGCCTCTAACCGTGTTGGTGGAGGCCTGGCATCAAACACTGATGATGTTTTGCCTTCTTCTGTCACCAGCAGAGGAGATGGGAGATGAAGAAGTCCACACTATCCCTCCTGAGCTACGGATCCTGCTGGGCCCTGGCGCCCTGCCTGCCCTGCAGAACCCGCCCATCCGGGGAGCAGGAGGCCATAACGGAGACCTCCCCTTTCCTTTCCCGGATATTGCCAGGAGAGGCTGGAATGAAGAGGGAGAAGATGGGCTCCCTCGGCCAAGGGACCCTGTCATTCCCAGCATACAGCTGTTTCCTGGTCTCAGAGAGCCACAAGAGGTGCAAGGGAGCGTGGATATTGCCCTGTCTGTCAAATGTGACAGTGAGAAGATGATCGTGGCTGTAGAAAAAGATTCTTTTCAGGTCAGTGCAGCTGATTACAGGAGGGAAGAGAGGCCGCCTCCTTTCTCATCTGGCCCCAATCTGTGTCTGTAATTTCTCCCTATCTCTTTCACTTTTGAACTCTGGAGGCATGATACTGTTTTTGCAGTTGGATGGGTCTACTTCCCCTTGGCTGTGATTCTCACCGGGTTCCTGTTGTTCTCAGTGACAAGGGGGTCCCAGATCCTTGTGTGTCAATATTTTGCTATTGAATTTCCAAGGCCAACAGATATTATCCTTGGGAGTTGAGAGGTGAGCAGCTGGGAAGAGATATGTGGGGAAGGAGCACGATGTATGCCTCTCACCACCTGTCCTTTGAAGACCAGGCAATTGTCATTTGTGTCAATTGTGCAGCAGAACTGCCTGTGGGCCCCCAACTATGTCTTTGGTGTTGGTTGTTTCAGGCCAGTGGCTACTCGGGGATGGACGTCACCCTGTTAGATCCTACCTGCAAGGCCAAGATGAATGGCACACACTTTGTGTTGGAGTCTCCGCTGAATGGCTGCGGTACTCGGCCCCGGTGGTCAGCCCTTGATGGTGTGGTCTACTATAACTCCGTGAGTATTTTCCAGAACAAAGCTTTACCCTTTGCCAGAGCCTGGCTGTTTGCTGTCTTAAAATTAGTCTTAACGTTTCTTTGAAGATGAAGAGGGTACCCCAGGCCAGAACAAAGTCAAGTGTCAGTTCTCAACCAAATGGATGTACTTTGACCCTGAACTCTTCGGTTTTATTTGTTTTATTGGTGAGTCTTGGGGAGTTGGAAGCCCTGTTTTCTAAGCCTTGCTTCCGTCTCCTGATGACAAAGGCTGCACTGGCAAGGTGATTATGACCTCTCAGTGGCCAGGCTCTACTGGCCCTGATGGGGATAAAATCCAAGGCCCTGGGCTGTATGAATGAGAACCTCTACAGAGCTGGGGTAACCAGATGTGAAGTCTCTCTGGCCTCATTTGAGTCTTGTCCAGAAATAGAAGAACTTCTCCCTCCTTCATGAATAAAAATCCAAAAAGAGAATTTTAAACCACAAAAGGACCTTTAGGAAATTATTAAGTCTCTCTCCACCTCTAAGAAAGACCCTAAATTGAAGAAAATCTCCTACCTTTGAAGTTACTTGGAGAACGATTTAGATTTCCCCCAATGACAATCCATTGCAATAACTAACCTGCGCTTTCCAGAAATGTTTCTTCTCAGTTGAATCTAAATCTTTTCAGATTAAACTCATTTTCTTGGAGACAGAGACTAGGCAGTGAATATTAAAAGAATTTAAAATGTGAAATTTCAAAAGAACTTTAAAGTGCTGATTTTGCACTTTGGGTTTTACTTTTAATGGTAAAAATAAGGCCCAGAGATCCCATCTGACACAGGGTGGGTTGGGGTGGGCAGATGTCTTCTTAGCGCCATCTCCAGGTTTGACATGGGATGCTGAGCTGAGGCTGCTAGTTTGGCCCAATGCAGAGAAGTGAGACTAGCAATCAGGCGCTCTGGTCAGTGTGGTTCCAGTGGGAAGTGGCTTTCCCATGAGCCCAAGTGTATTGTTCCTCAGAGAATCTTAGAATGTTGGAGCAGCAAAGAACCCTAAGATGAGCTTATTCAGCTTCTTCATTTCACAGGTGAGGAAACTGAACTCTAGGAAGCTAAAAAGACTTGCTTTTTTAAACTCTAGCGGTAGGCTAATGGCAGAGCTAGGACAACTGAATCCAGCTTCCTGACCTCTCATCCACTAATCTTTCCTCTAGACTAGGCTAGACCCTGCTAATCTCCTTTTGTTACTCAAATAGTTAATTTATTAACCTTTGACTTCCTGATCATTAACAGTGTGAATTTTCTTTCAGTTATCCAGTTTCTGCAAATATAATGAGTGTCATATATTGCTGAAATGCTTGATTATGGCATTTTAAAACTGGGGTCCAAGTTAATACCAACAAGTGGCTACAGTAATATGTCTGTTAAGTTAAAAAAAAAAAGTGTCATTTGCTTCAGGAGAGAAAGGCATGTAATGACCCCTTAAAGTTCCTTTTTCTAACATAATTGTCTTTTCTTTATTATGATGTTCGAGTTTAGCAGTATCCTAGATGCTTCCTTTAATTGGTGTCAGTACTTTCTTTGGAGGACCTGGTACCTAGAGAAAGGCAGTTTTTTTGTAAATTATCATTCCATCCTTCTCCGTTCAGGGACTATTTTAGCTGTTCACACCAATTATAATCGTTTGTAGTAATTTTCAGACTTACTATATATTTCTGTTTTGTATCATGTTCAGAATCCAAGCATATGAAGCAAGATAAATTAGGATTTTGTTTATGGAGTCACGACCCTTGGGTGAATTTTCTCATCCTATTTAGCACTAATCCAGGAATCATAATTTCAACCTATGTCAAGATAGATTCCTGGAATATATCTTTAGATGGATATTGAAAAGGGCAGAAAAAAAATATTCCTGGAATAAAACATGATATTCTTTTCCGCATCCATGCATCATGCAGAAAGATTTCTTAGGGAAGAAATAAGCAAAAGTTAGAGGGGTACAAGGAAAGCATTGAAGAGAAGATGAGCTCCATTGTAAACATTAGGTCCTTCACTGCCGACTCAGAACCTTCCACAACTCTTAAAGGATCTATGTAACCAAAGCTGCTTGTATTAGCCAACTCTTAGTACTTCTTAGAGTTTTTAATATGAAGACTCTTAAGGAGAAGTCCCTTCTCACAGTATAGGCAAGCCTCTTGACACCTCCATTCGACTTTGTTCCAGTATCTAGTGTTTTCCCACGATTTGAAACCATTTGTAATTATTCAATATAGTTATATCATAAATATTTATTTTTCACAAGGAAAGATACAAGTATTAGTTTAGCTTTTAACTTGAACTTGCATTGGGCTTCTCCTTATTCTGAATCACTTTGAAGATAAAATTTGAAAATGCATTTGGTGTTTTCATAACATTGGCCGTGCTTTCTTTGCCTTTTAGATTGTGATACAGGCTGCAGCCCTTGGAGACAGTAGCGGCTGGCCAGATGGTTATGAAGATCTGGAGTCAGGTGATAATGGATTTCCGGGAGACGTGGATGAAGGAGATGCTTCCCTGTTCACCCGACCTGAAATTGTGATGGTAGGTGTTTGTTATCAGTAGGTGGTTTGTGGAAAATGCTGTCTATTTTGTTGGCTTTCGCTAGGGACTCTCCAAAAATAAAATCAAATGTTAAAGGCCAAAGCTCACAAAGCTACAGGGCCTTCATCCTTCATGTGACTGTCATTAATCTTCTCTGTTGTTTTTTCCAGTTTAATTGCAGCCTGCAGCAGGTGAGGAACCCCAGCAGCTTCCAGGAACAGCCCCATGGAAACATCACCTTCAACATGGAGCTATACAACACTGACCTCTTTTTGGTGCCCTCCCAGGGGGTCTTCTCTGTGATGGAGAATGGACACATTTATGTTGAGGTGAGACCTGAAAGTTCACCTTGGGCTTTTAGGTTAGCACCGAGCTGTAGTTCCTTAGACATCAGCTAAAACACCCTGTACAGACCTCTTCCTGTCGCACCTCACAGACCTTCGCCAGGTCTGATGAGGGCTTGGCTCAGAGAACGCTTCCAGGTTGATTTCTGACCAAAGAAGGAAATTTCAGGATTTAATACATTATGTTAAGTGAAGACAGTGTTTTATAGATGAATGTTAAAAACAAAAATGGCAAGTGTGAATTCTACTGGTAAAGCCCGGTCCTTGGTTTGTCTTTAGCATTTTTGGAACAGTAGTTCTGTAGTTGCAATGTCAGAGTTAACCGTGGGATATTTCAAAGCCACCTCATATGTTCTCTTTTATTTCTCTTGTTTTTTCCCTGCACAGTCCCCCAGCCCCAGCATGGCAGCCAGATCACTGTGGGTCCCTGCCACCGCCAAAACCGACTTGTTATCTTTTAAATTGCACTCACTTTTAAGTGAAATGCTGTGTGCTACTAATAACGCATGAAAAATTTTTTCTAGATCATTATCTAAGTATCTATAAAAAACTTATTAAAACTCTTTCCTATATATAATGGTAATAATCATGCATGGCCTAAATCTGGAGTGACTACAAAATATGAGGCAGTCGTAGTAACAATGAAATAACAACATCTAACATTTACTGCAGATTTATTATGTGCCAAACATAGTTGTAAGTATTGCAGCAGCTAATTAACTCTTCAGAGCAATCTTATGAGGGAGGCTAATAATGTCCTCATTTTATGGATGAGAAAATTGAAGCACAAATTTGTCTGAGGCCACACAGCTGGTACTAGTGGAGTTCAGATTCAGTGTCCTGGCTCCGGAGCTCTTGACTGTTCTTCACTGGGTACGACTATCATTTATCTTCAAAGTGCCATTTGAAAGGGGAGAAAACATCTTATCAATGCAAACATCCAGGCTCAGAGATTGGATTCTAGAAAAGATAACTGTCCTTATGGCACCAGGAAGTCTGTTGTTTCTTGTGTCCTGGGTACAACCTTTAATGTTTCAACCTTAGTGTTTCAAGTGGGCATATCATCTGTTGGTCTTATGGAAAGGTTCTCATCTAATGAGCTGGTTTTGGTGCTGAGCTGCAGGCTCAGCTTCATAGTGGGAGGGATGAGAAGCTTCAAGGGTCAAAGTGGGATACTTCCATATGTTAAAAGTGACTTTGGTGCATGTGTTTTTATTTTGGAAAGACAAATAACTCTCACATTTGCACTGACTCTGGGACAGAGCCTGCTGGCGCTGTGGATTCTGTCCCTTCCCCGTTTTGAGAGTTCTGTTTCTTTGGGTACACCTTCTTTCTCCATTGGAGAACATATGCTGCTTTCTACATGCTTTTCCTAAGCCAAGACTGCTATTTTTCTCTTGCTTTTCTGGCTGTGTGGTTCACATGGGCAGTTATCAACAGCTCCCTGTTGCGCTGTGGGTTTCAGGGGTGCTGCCTAACTGCAGATTGTTCTTTTCCAAATCTATGCCTGGCTTTGCTGATGTATGCTAATCAGTGGTCAATCTTCCTCCTATACCTTACCCTGGATATTTTGGGGGTTTTCCCCCATCCTTCAAACTCTGGCTTACTGGAAATGTGTTATTGGTAGGTTTTTTTTTCTCTGTTCTTGTTTTCCCATTTATATCTTTTCATATATCACCTATATTTCTCATAGTTTATCCTCTGTTCCCTCTACACCATACAGTCGCTTTCATAATCCAAGTTAACAGTGTTATCACCTGTTTTTTGGTCATCTCCAGGTGACTGTTGATCACATAATGGCAATTTTTCTTTTGGTTCGTTTGTCTGGGGGAATTTACAAACCCAATTGCCAAAAAGCAAAAATTTTAAATCTGGAATACTGCTACTACTGCTAGGTAGCATTTATTGACTCTCTGGGAACTGTGTTGTCTGCATGTAACTGTTACTTTCCTAATTTTCACAATTATGGTATCTCGTGGGTATTCATATTCTCATTCTATAGGTGAGGAAACTGAGTCTTAGTGCCCAACACGTGAGCAGGAGAGCATGTGGTTTCCATGAGCTCATTCACTTCAAAGCCTATGGTCCTTTTCCTACTCATTTCTGGCCTAAAAGTAAAAACTTTTACTAATAGTAAAAGATTTGCTGATAATATATATTTTTTTCCTCTGTTACAAAGGTATCCCCTTTTGGGATACCTTAGATATTTGCCACTACATACTTTCTTTTGAGATTAGAGAATAGATTTGCAGTCCCTCTGTTACACATTTTGGCATTGTGGGTTCTGAGTTCATGTTAAAGGGCACTTTTTAGTAATAGCACGTATGTAATTTGCCACCTTTTCAAGATAGAATATCTCGTTTTTCAGAAATATTGCAAAAATACTGAAGTGTTAGTATTTATAGAATGTCACCACAGGGTGACATTGTCAGAATCCTCTTCATTAGCATCTTCATTGTTGAGTGTCCTACAGTTCACCGCCATGTAGGAATCTTTTGCAACAGTGCTGTGGATTCAAAGCCCCATGTGATGTCAGGGGTTTCCCTCTGGGTATCTCAGCGTGGAAAGTCTGTTTCTATCTCCATGTCTTTTGAAAGGATTCTGGGGCTATTGGTTTGTGGGTAAGGAGTAACTGTTTCTACAAGTGTTTAAGTTTATTTTGATCCTAATTTAGTCAAAGAATGAAGCATAACAGGGAGGGGCAGTTCATGTAGTGATCCACGTGTCACCAAATGGAGAATCCAGTCTTGCCTGGAGATTTTAGCTAAGTTCAGGATAGTTGAGGTTTGAATTCTGTTTACACTTGGCTAAACATTACTTCCTGTTTCTAAAGAAAAGAACCTTAACAAAATTTGGATGTAGCCCATACGATGTTTTCTAAAGGGGAGGTATAAATGAGTCGGAAACATTTCCAGATTAGATTTCCCCTAAGCTACCCCTGGGCTTATAGAGTGAAGGGGGAATACTTGGCAAGGCTGAGGTGGATCTGTGAGCAGCTGGGATACTTTACCAGGCCCATGATGCGTCCCGTTGCACGGTTGCCAACACTCAGTGCCAGAGCCAGCTCTGCCTTCTCGCTGATGAAGCAGGACTCTCATCAGAGTTACCCTGACTTGTAGTTTAGAAGATTTTTTGATCAATTTTTAAAAAGAGCTTGGCTTATAAGTGTTATACTATTAAAACATTAGGGACTTTGCCTATTGGAGCTTTATTTACTTTGGAAAATCCACTTTAAATGCAAAATGTTTTTACTTTTATCTCTCAGAGGACTTATGAAAGGTGGAAGAAACTTACTCGCCTTGTATTTGAATGTACCGGACTAACAGTTGAATGAAAGAATTCACCGTCACCATCCATATCAAATTTAAATGGAACATATCTTTTTCTTTCAATGAGTGTGTGTTACTTTTGTAATTAGAAAGAAGGCTATGTTATGAAAATGAAGCAGCATCTCCTCTCAAGGGCTGTGTTGGCCTGTGGTCCTTGTGCATAAAGTGAAAGCGAGATGCTGACTCATTTCCTAATTCATCTTTCTATTCTTTCATAGGTGTCTGTTACTAAGGCTGAAAAAGAACTGGGATTTGCCATCCAAACATGCTTTATCTCTCCATATTCGAACCCTGATAGGATGTCTCATTACACCCTTATTGAGAATATTTGTCCTAAGGATGAATCTGTGAAATTCTACAGTCCCAAGAGAGTGCACTTTCCTATCCCACAAGCAGATATGGATAAGAAGCGATTCAGCTTTGTCTTCAAGCGCGTCTTCAACACCTCACTGCTTTTTCTGCAGTGTGAGCTGACGCTGTGTACCAAGACAGAGAAGCACCCCCAGAAGTTGCCTAAGGTTTGTGGGCCTTCATTCATTTGGACTATTATTTTGGCATTTTTAGGTGAGGCAGAAAAGTTTACTCCCAAGGTCTTACAGGTTGAAGTTTTTGGTTTTGGAACTGCCCAATTGAAGTATCAAAGTCAGTATTAGCAGGAACCTGTGAGTTTTATGGAGTCTTAGAGAATAAATCCTGACAGCATGATTTTCTTTTTTCCATGCATCCTGCTTAGTAGTACCTACAAGTGATAAATCAAGACTGTTTTCCATGGAGGGAGAGGTCTGGCTTTATCTTTGCTTTTCAGATAATTTGGAGTGCCAAAAATACAGCAAGCCGAAAGGACAAATTCACTGTGAGAATTAATTTTTCCAGGTCCTGCTGAGACTGGCATTGTAATTGTTCTTTAACCTTTTCTGTGTGAATTATAAGGGTGTGTTGTCTCAGGGTGACTTCTAGGGGAAACTAACGAATATTTTAGCTTTTCTCAGTTTCACATCAGTTCATCATGCTTGCCTCTGTCACTCCCCAGATTGAATGTTCTTTTGCCATAACAAAAAGCAGAACCATTTGACCTTGGCGGAATGCCTGCAATAGGGGAGATCTGCAAGGTTAATTATGATACTCAGTAGGCTAGCATCGTATATGAAAGGTATCTTCTGCCTGTAGTTTTGTTTCCGTGATCTGCCATAATTACATACAATTTCATATGTCCATTTATTCTGTGGCCGTCTCACACAGTGTAAACTGACTTCCAATTCTTTCATAGTCACATATCAATCAATGCCTAAAAGGCTAAGAATCAAGCAGTATTATTAATAATATATGTATGGAATTTTCTTATATAATTCACAGGTTGTAAGTCTTAGGTATGAAGGTGGGAGGAGAAGCTATCATTTACAAATAGATCATGATTGATCTGAATCCCTTGCGTCATTATATTCCCTGGGCATCCATTTCTCTGATAACACCCAAGACAATTTTGTTTGCATATGAAAATACAGCAGATATGATCATAATCGCTAGGGAGCACATATACAGTGATTTAGACTGTATTCCTCAGTTTGCTTTTTGGCAGTATTAATGCCTTAGCCTTGTGGGCATTCACCATCAAGGTTGGGACTTAGTGGACAGTGGTAGAGAGCTGTGGGGAACTTCATGTGTGGCTGTGGGGCCAGCTGCTTCCTGTGGGCAGAAGGATAACGTTTAAAGGTTAGAGGTCTTGGAAGGGAGGCCTAGCAATTACCAGGGATCTTTGCTGTGGCTTTGGCTGTTACTTCTGTCTGAGGCTGGCCTGGAACACATGAGCCCAGCTTCATGTGTGTTAATCTGGGGAAATTAATCCTAAAATTTTCTTCCAGAACACTCTTGAGGAGAGTTCTAAGCCTCAGGGAATGGCATGATGGGTTATAACCCTAAACTTTAAGTCGTCCTTTACCCCCAAGGTACGATACCATAGAAAGAGCCTGGGACTGAGAAGGAACCTGTATTTCCTCATTTATAAAACCCTTATAATAATACCTGGCTTCCCTCCTGGGTAGAGGAGCAAACAGGACAGCAAATGACAGCCCCCTCTTTATCCAGCAGAGGCTTGGATGAGCTTTTACCACTTACAATATTACCTATAAGCTTGCTGCTTATAGGTAATACTTCCACATTTCTATTCTGAATGCTTTCTGCGACAATGGAGCCGAAGTGTCTTCTAGGAAGAGGTCTCGGAGATTGTTGAGACCAACCCTGTCCTTTGCTGATGAAACTGAGACCCAGAGAGTAGACTGTCTTGCCCAGGGTCACCCACCACTGAGTTAAATGTAGAATCATCGACTCTTGCTTAACTGAAGAGCTAATAGGAAGGAAACAGTAAACTAAAACAGGAAAGCAAAATGCAAATCTTTTCAATCATCATGCCTCTCCACAGAAAATTTGTTTTTTCTTTACAAGAGGGCTCTTGTTAAAGGCTTTTCTCTCTTTGAGAGGGTAGGGGTGGGATGGTGAGGGCTGTCTTGTAGTAAGTGTCTGACTGGCATGTTGCTCAGAGCAGCAATGATGGTAAAGCATAAAGCCTTTGCTCTTTTGTGTTTGGAAAAGATGGAACTCAGTTAGCTTTTTGGCCTGCTACAGACTTTTGAAATGATTGATGGATTAGTATGTCTTCTTACCACAGAAGCTGTCATTCACATTACAGTTATACCTATTAGGCCGGGCGTGGGTGGCTCATGCCTGTCATCCTAGTACTTTGGGAGGCCAAGGTGGGCAGATTGCTTGAGCCTGGGAGTTCAAGACCAGCCTGGTCAACTTGGTGAGACCCCTGTCTATATGTGTGTGTGTATATATGTGCATTAGCTGGGTGTAGTGGCACACACCTATAGTCCCAGCTACTGGGGATGCTGAGAGAGGAGTATGACTGGAGCCCATGAGACCAAGGCTGCAGTGAGCCATGATTGTACCACTGCACTCCAGCCTGGGTGACACAGCAAGACCCTGTCTCGAGAAAAATAAAAAAGAATTATACCGATTGATAAGCATAGACAAGAAACCAAAGTTATTTTAAAGAAAAAATGTATGGAGTGTGATCATATTTTTTCAAAACAGATGTTGTGGGCCTGGGTATGCTTATTAATAGGTTTGAGGCCTTGAAATAGTTAGAGTTAGAAGCAGCTGATCTCATGGCCTCCACAACCTGGGCACAACTTCCAAGGACCTGCGTTTTGAAACATTAAAAGCAGATGACTCTGGAAAGTTCAGTTTTGCAAGAGTCTATACCAGGATTAAAAATGAAACAACATGATTATCTTTTTGGGCAAAAATGTAAAATCTGTAACCTTTATAATGTATTATAGACAGCCCCCATGCAACCATTTTGTTTTCCACTCTGAGCATTCAGTAAATTATGTGAGCTGTTCAACACTTTGTTATGAAATAGGAGGCTTTGTGTTACATGATTTTACCCAACTGTAGTTTATTGTAAGTGTTCTGAACATGTTTAAAGTAGGCTGGGCTAAGCTATGTTGCTCAGTAGTTTAGGTATATTAAATGCATTTTCAACTTAGTGATATTTTTAGTTTACAATGGATTTGTCAAGATGTAATTTCATCATAAGTGGAGGAGCATCTTTACAGGGAGTTTCCCACAATCACAAATCACAAACCTGAACCATGTGAATGAAGCCAGCTTGGTGAGGACCAACACTAAGCATATAATTTCTCTATTTTTCAAAGTCAATAACAGTAAAATGTTTAGTTTTGTGGGAAGAAGGGGAGGGGGAGGACAATATTGAGAAGCTATCCAGTGATATTTGCATCTTCAGGTACAACCAGAAATCCACTGGGCCTTCTGTGATATCTCCCAGGTTATTAGGTATTCTCTGAAAAACACCCACCTCTCCTGCTTTTCTGTAGTGAATGGCCGTGTGCTGTCTCATAAAAGGCCACAGGACAGCTGTGCAGGTCAAGCTGGTGAAGGCACTTTTGAGCGGCCCCTGACTCTGTGCTTTGCTCTGCCTCCCTGCAGTGCGTGCCTCCTGAGGAAGCCTGCACCTCACTGGATGCCTCGATAATCTGGGCCATGATGCAGAATAAGAAGACGTTCACCAAGCCCCTTGCAGTGATCCACCACGAAATAGGACCTAAAGGTGAGCTTCGGGAGGCATGATCAAAGCATGGGGCCTACATGCTGCTCGTTAAGAAGACCCAATACTGTAAATCAAAGTTCAGTTTTATTTACAAGATAACTAAAGGGCCAGTTAGTTACTTTAGAAGATGATTCTTTGCCCAAAGAGTCTTTTCTTCAGCTGGTTCTCTTACAGCTGTTATGGCTTAGTTGTAAGTAATATATTTGAAAATGATTTCCTCTGTAAAAAATCAGGTCTAGGTTGTCCCTGTCATAAGGTCACTCCCCCTTGCATTCAAATATGCTTCCTTGAGTGTGCAAAAAAGGGTTCGAGTTAGTCCCATGCCCTGGGAATTGCACACAACCCACAGTTGATCTTTCCGTGATATACTACTAAAGGTTATGCTGGCTATAACCTATTGTATTGCTTTATCAAAATTGCAGATGCCTTTGAGAATATGTGAACATTATTCATCTTAGGTTTAACAAATGAGAACCACTGCCCAAATGCATCTTATAATTCAGTTTTCAGGATTTTGCACAATCACATTTGTTGCTGGAAGCCAAGCATGCCTCTTTCTCCACATGCAGGAACATTGAGCAATCTGTACTTCTGGGGAAAAAGGAAGGATGTGCCCTAAGGGGTGTGGCATCAGTACCTGAGAGGACAGGCAGTGCAGAGCCAGGCCTGGGATGGGCCAGGCCAGCCAGAGCAGCAGAGAGGCAGAGCTGGGCCCTAACAAATGTTAGGAGTGGATATGAGGTCCCGTGGGCGGTGAGAAGAGCATCTGACAAGGATCCGCATCACAGCTCCAAGGGGTATGAACAAGCAAGGACACACCAGGCAGCTGTCAACATCTGAGGGATGAAACCAAATGTCACATGGGGTATCTAGGCAGTTACAGTTGTCACCATCTAGAAGCATTGATATCTAAGGGTGTCAAACCGAAGGAAGGCTGGGAGAGTGAAAGTGGATTCCAAGCAAGGTTAGATCTTTCAGGGTTAGAGCTACAGGCTGCCTCTCGCCACTCTGAGGGGCACAGAGGAGCCTGGGCACCAAGGGCCTTGACAAAGGCCAGTACTCTTCTTGGCTGCAGTTGCTGCGCATTAGCTGGAAGATCTGCTGGGTGCTGCTGACACCAGATCTAGGGTTTGTGGTGGCCCTCGGATGGCATTCCTGATCTGAGCTTGTTGGATTGAAATTTGGCAAGACTAGGCAGCAGGGGTGACCCTGGAGTGGGTGGGACCTACCAGAAGAGAGGCATGCGGGTACTGTCTAGTGTCTTACTTGGTTCCCTAACCTTTGTGAAAACAGTCGTGCCATTCCAATTGTGATATCTGGTGGTGGCGCTATGAATGAATGTGCTCCCTCAAAACGGCAGAAGAGTATAGGTGGCGGGCACACCGGATTGGAGCTGGGAGCCTAGGCACTGCGTTTAGCTGTCTCTGCTAACTGGCTGTGGGACCTCGGAGAGCTCTCCCTACCATCACCTCTTTGGGTTTCATTTTCTTTATCTGGAAAGGAGAGGTTTGGACCAGGTGACTTCGAAAAGGTCGTTTCAGTTGAAATGCTCAAACTACACTGTTTGAAGAAGCGAAATAACCTTTAATTCATTTTCCTGGCTGTACTAAAGTTGGTGTGAAAGGTACATGAGATGTTCCTCGGCAACATTTTTGTTGTTTGTTTTACTATTACTGATTGGTTTTCAACCATTTGAAAGTTATAACAGACCCAGTCTTTATATAAAGGGATTGTCCAAGGAGTTCCTTTTTATTGGGTTCTGGAGAAAGAAATAAGAACAAGTTGTGTTGCAGAGTCATCACGATTGGGAGCAGCTGGCTCTGTTTTGTACTATGAAACTGGTTCTGTTACCAGAAAGGGGTCCCAATTCAGACCCCAAGAGAGGGTTACTGGATTTTGCCCAAGAAAGAATGACAAGTCCACAGAGTAAAGTGGAAGCAAGTTTATTAGAGAAGTAACAAAACAAAAGAATGGCTGTTTCATAGAGCAGCCCCAGAGGCTGCTGGTTGGCTATTTTTATGCTTATTTCTTGATCATATGCTAAACAAGGAGTGGATAATTCATGAGTTTTCCTGGACAGGGGCAGGCAATTCTCGGAACTAGGGTTCCTCCCCTTTTTAGACCATATAGGGTAACCTCTAGGCTTTGCTATAGCATTTGTAAACTGTCATGGTGCTGATGGGAGTGCCTTTTAGCTTGCTAACATATTATAATTAGTATATAATGGGCAATGAGGACAACCAGAGGTCACTGTCATTGCCATCTTGGTTTTGATGGGTTTTGGCCAGCTTCAGCCGGCTTCTTTACTGCAATCTGCTTTATCAGCAGGGTCTTTATGACCTGTATCTTGTGACCTCCTCTCCCATCCTGTGACTGAGAATGCCTAAGCTCCTGGAAATGCAGCCCAGTAGGTCTCAGCCTCATTTTACCCAGCCTTATTCAAGGTAGAGTCGCTCTGGTTCAAACGTCTCTGGCAATTTAACAATAAGAGCAGCTACCTCAGATTCCATCTGCTACTCGTAACTATTTTGAGAAAGGTAATTCTGCTAGTAATTGAAGGCAGCGGCTTGCTTTTTCCCATGCCAGACAATAATTAGACATTAATATTGGAGCAGTATAACTTCCAGCAATTCATCCATTCTTTTGAGCCTGTGGTATTTTTCTAAGTAATTTCTCTTGCAAATTAGGTAATTACTTTTATTTAAGCTTAGTATAATTATACTGAAAGTTCAATGTTTTCTTATATAAAATTTCAAGAGGAAAATTTTACCAAATATCAAAGTAATTTTATGAGATTTTTCTAATTGACACTAGATTTTAGTTGAGAAGCAGGTGGGTGAAGAAAGTTTATTACTTAGGTTTGTTAAACAAATTGAGGAGGTTAAACTGTAGGCCAGCTTCCCAGGGGCTGTATGCAAATTTGCTTTCTAACTTTGCACTGACTGGGGTACTTTTCTGGCACTTTTCAGCTGTGTGTGACTCCTCTCACCTTTTATATTTATTTTCTTTTGACTCTAAAATCATTTCTCCTCAGTGCAGACCATTGGAGTCTGTGCCTTCTGCCTCACAGTGAATTGAAATAGCCATTTGAAAAGAGACTGGACCATTTGCCTAATCCCATTGGTTTATTTGAATAATAACAGCTCATGAGTGTTCTTCCTGCCAGACAGCTCTATGTCCTTTTATTGTAGAATCTGTGGGAGCGAGCAGATCACTTACTGGAATTTACTTTTGGGGTTAAATTTCCCAACCAATGGACACTTCACTCTGTTTTTTACTACATAGGTGCTCTTTGAAGGCCATGCGAAAGCTCCAACTGTCCCTCGTCATTTGGTTCATCTTATTTTTCAACACCTGGATTTTCTGGGACAGCAGATAAAGGCTCTGGTTGTCAACTTCATAGCCAGAGAACTGCTCTATGGCCACCACTGCCAGTAGCACTGACATACTTCAGTGTTTCTTCTGTGGACAGGAAAGTAGGCAATCAAGGCTAGAAAAATAATTCTGGATTCCTACTCTTTTTAATGCAACCTCCCTGGGCACATGTTTGCCACTTTTGATCTCTAAGTCCCTTGGGAATCAGTGTTAGGTTGGTATTCTTTTACTATTTGAATTTTTAACAACAGATGAAAGTTTAAAGCTGGTGGTGGTGATAGTGATGGAGATGAGGATGACGATCTGACCTTTGTTGAGCATTTACTTTGTGCAGGGCTCTGTGCTAAATGCTTTATATGGATTATTATGTTTCATCCTCATAGCACCTCTGTATAGAGGTAACTTGGCCAAAGGCATACAACGTAGAAATGGTTGATCTGGGATTCAAATTCAGGCACTTTGATTCCAGAGCCTGTGCTCTTAAATCCTATGCCTTATTCCAGATGGGGGTTGATGCATCTATCTTCACACCTCTCTTCCTGTCCCACTTCTCTTTTCATACCATACCACATTAGTATTCAAGGTAACACCCCAAATACCCTAATGATTATGAACTGAAAGGAAGATGAAGAATTTTAGGAAAAAAGTCTGTTCACTCATGTAACCCACCACGTTACTTGTTGGGAAACATGTAACCCGTTTTAATAGAGTTTTAAAGTTCAGGAGAAGTTCTGTGATTTTCAGTAGTAACTCACAGAAAAAGCCCAGAAAACATAAATGGTTTATGCATATTATGATTTATGACAAAACATTTAAAATAGTTGAGATAGTGCCATCCTACCCAATTTTCTGAAATTTTGAAGTATAGGCATATTAGTGCCGTTTGCCTTGGATTCTGTGACCACTTTTTACAACATTTGAGAGCACTTGGGCTTATACAGTAAAAATGATTACACCACACCAGAGATGATATTTTTTTAAATGGTGAAAGGGAGGAGTGACCATTTCTATGAAACAGTGCACACACACAGGAAAGCGTGGACTTGGACAGAAGGAGCAATAAATACCATTCCAAAATTTGCCATGATTTACATACCTATAGCTGTATTTAATTCTTAGCAAGTTAAATATTTGAGATACTGAATTTTCTCCATATTTTCACTACCTAACTTTAAAAAATAAAAATGCCTGCATGTCTTGGATACTCAGTAAATGTTAATTTCCTCTCCTTCCTCTCAACCTCTCAGCCAAACTAGAGGTTTTTTTGGGAAGGGAGGGTTGAGGAAGGGAAAGTTGTGAACGTCAGTTGGAAGCTGATCCAAGAGAGGCATTGCTTTTTGGAACACATTTGATCTTTCCAGAATAAAAATACTCTAAAGGACCAGCCAGGTTTTGTCCTCAAGCTGAGGTCGAGGTGAGGGGAAACTGAGTGGAAAGATGGAGAAATGCTTAATTGACAGACTAGGGCGTTCAGTCTCCATCCAAGAAGGGAAGAAGGGATATCATAGGGATTTCTTTTAACACCGTGTATTTTACATTTTATTTATTTAGTTAGTTTGTTTTGAGTTGGAGTTTCACTCTGTCACCCAGGCTAGAGTGCAGTGGCGCAATCTTGGTTCATTGGAACCTCTGCCTCCCGGGTTCAAGTGATTCTCCTGCCTCAGCCTCCCGAGTAGCTGGGATTACAGGCGCCTGCCACCACACCCAGCTAATTTTTGTATTTTTAACAGAGACAGCGTTTCACTGTGTTGGCCAGGCTTGTCTCAAACTCATAACCTCAGGTGATCTGCCTGCCTCTGCCTCCCAAACTGCTGGGATTACAGGTGTGAACCACCACACCTGGCCTGTGTTTTACATTTTAAAAACCTTTTTATTTTGAAAAATTTCAAATATATATGAAGATAGAATAGGTCTCAACAATTGCCAATTTATGGGGAATCTGGTTTTATAACTTTGTCATCCACTGAATTGTTTTGAAGGAAACTCAGACATTTAATTTCATCCATAAATATTCCAGTATGTTAAGACCCATCAAAAGATCTCAAGTAGGAAACTGATGATTAGGTCATTTAGGAAGACTACTCTGAAAATGGTGTGGAGGTTGCATTGCTGGGAAAGCACCCAAGAATAAAATATACATGATATGTATGGTTATTTCTTCCAAAAACTGTTTATCGAGTACCTAATATATGGTAGGTATATAGTGGACAACTGATCCTGTCTTTAAGGCCTTTACAGCCTAGTGTAGAGCTTCTCAATCCTGGTACAATCAGCGTTTGGGCTGGAATACCCTTTGTAGCTGGGGCTGCCTGTGTGTTTTAGGATACTGAGCAGCACCCCTCATCTCTACCCGCCATATGCTAGTAGCAACACCCTCCCACCACCAGCCCAGTTGTAACCAACCAAAATGTCTCTAGATGTTTCCAGATGTCCCCTGGAATAAAAATCACCTATCATGTGAGACACACTGGTCTAGTGGCAGGATACAGATAAGTGACAGGTAGTTGCATTGAATCCCATAAATATTGAAAGAACCCAGAGAAAGGATTCAGTTACAGTGACGTCAAGTTAGTAAAAACTCTTTCTTAAATGGTGACTGCACAAAGACCTCCCGAGTCTCCAGGAGGAATCTTCCTCTCCCCATTCTTCCCTTTGCCAAATGCCAGTAGATGTGGGTACCAGTTGGACGCCTTGTTTCACTGCAGGCTCACTTTGTTCTATGGTGTCTAGTACCAAATTGAGCACTAAAGGCCAAAAGCTGTGGTCAGTTACTCATGCATAACCCCAGAAATATCCCGTTTATGAAAACCGTGCCGAACAATCTGAGGAGGGAAATTTTGGTTCTAGAGGTAAACCCAAAATTGGCTCAGGGTATATGAAAAGATTTAATTCAGAGCGTTGATTATAGTTTGTCCTTTCTGTAAAGAAATCTTTATTGTTATACTTTTCTTTACAGCAATAGCTAAGATTCCTTTCTTACAATCTTATCCTTAAACCAAAAGTAAATATTGTTACATCCACTCTTTTCCTCTCAGCATGCCAACTCGATGATAGGGTTCCGGTGGAGATCAAGCCATTTTAATTGTACTCAGGGGTTCTTAGGGATTTGGGAAGAGGAAAGTTTGAGGATAGAATCCTTTAACCTCAGTTCTGCAGCCTGTGCTTGTTATTGCTATGCACAGAAATCGCGAAGGGACTCCACCCAGGGGAAATGAACAACAACTGTTTCTGTTTAGCTCTGTGAAAAGGCCCCTATTTGGGGTGGGGGTAAAGGATTAGATCATAACAGAAATCCATTAAGAATTTTAAAACAATGCCATCCATCACACAGGCCTTGCTGTAAAACCTAAACTCTTACGTGTGAGCCTCCTTAGAAGAGAACCATAATTTTTCAACCACTGGGGGATTCTGAGTGAGAAAGTTTAACCAGGGGTGGTTGGTTGATTGGATGGAATTATTCCCAGAAGTGTGTATATTTCTTACATGATGCATACTGTAGCAACCTTTAAATGCCTTTGGACTTAGTTCAGGGAATCAAATACTACTTGAAAGTAGGAGAAGTTTGTGGCTAGATACTCTTCCTTCATAGAGTTCTTGGGAGTTTAAAATGAGACAATGTAAGTGAAGGCTTTTTATCTATTGCAAAACACCATACAAATGCACAAATGTAAGGCATCACTGTTGTTACTGCCAGTGTGGCTGATGGGACCCAGCTCCCAGGAGAGTGCATTCTGTAGTTAGCACAATTAGTGTGTGTTCTGCATATTGAATTAGATTTTCTTAAAAACATACAATCATTTTTATTTTCTCAGTAATTGCACATATCCTCATCCCAGGGCCACTATGTTGCACAACTCCAGGGGGCACCATTTAATTGTGGTGTCTCTGATTCATCCGGTAACATTCCTTCCCTAGAGCCGGACATTGATAACTCACGTGGCCAGAATGTTGACTCACCCATTGGAGATGGTTAATCCTGAGAATTTTCAATTCTGTTTTATTTGACCCTGTCTAGCTTCTATAGACATCAGTTCAAATGCCGCTTGTTTGGGTCATATTTTCCCAAGTTCTTTTTTGCTTCACTGTGAATTCAGACACAAGATATGTGTTCCTTCTGTAGTGAATGAAAATGGAGATAAAAAGAGAGGTGCTAAACATGTATCACTTTTAAACTCCAAAGAGTTAAGGTCAAGGTCTGTATCAGGACTCAGCACACTTTTTCCATAAGGGACCACATAGTGATTACTTTTTATTTGTGGCTCATATAATCCCTGTCTCAGTAACTCAACGCTGCTGTTATAGCATGAAAGCAGCCATAGACAGTATGTAAATGAATAAGCATGGCTGCATCCATATAAAACTTCATTTATGGAGTCAATTTGAATTTCATATAATTTTCACGTCATAAAATATCCTTTTTGGATTTTTTTTTTTTTTTTTTTTTTTGATGGGGTCTCGCTCTGTCGCCAGGCTGGAGTGTGGTGGTGCATCTTGGCTCACTGCAACCCCCACCTCCCAGTTCAAGAGATTCTCCTGCCTCAGTCTCCCAAGGAGGTGGGACTACAGGCGCACACCACCATGCCCAGCTAATTTTTGTATTTTTAGACGAGGTGTCACCATGTTGGCCAGGATGGTCTTGATCTCTTAACCTTGTGATCTGCCCGCTGCAGCCTCCCAAAGTGCTAGGATTACAGGCATGAGCCATCATGCCCAGCCCTTTTTTGATTTTTAAAAAATCATTTCAAAATATAAAATTCATTCTTAGTTCATGGGACAAAATACAGAAATGAGCAGTGGATTATAATATCCCAACTGCTGGTCTCAGCCTCACTGCTGAAGACAATGGGGAGCTGTGCACAAATAGTTATTTCATCAGTGCTTCCCCAGCTAACGACAGAGCTACGCTCACCAGTCGTTTAGCCTACTAGGCAGAACTTTGGAATTCTGGTTCAACCTCTGCCCTGATGCTTTCCAGCTGTGACCTTGGGCTCTGGTCACATGATATCATAGTCTCAGGCTGCTCATTTCCAAAACAGTAATACAAAATTTTTTCCTGCCTTCCTCGTAGCACTGGTGTGAACCACATATGAGCATATTCATTGTCTAATTCCTGGTTTCCTCTGTGGCTTCCATTTGAAAAAAGTACACCAACATTTTAATCATCCTTCACCAAACATTTCTGGAAGACCTATTCTGTGCCAGTCTGAGTCCTTGGGGATATACAGATGACTGAGAACTAGACCTTGCCCTCAGAGGAAAATTTAAAGAGAGAGAGAGAACTAAAACTAGGAGGCATTGTGGCACATGTGTAACAAAGGAGGGGTGGAATGAACAAGGATGGGAGACACTGGCTCTGCGGGGATGGATATGGAACAGTGGGAGACTCAGGCAAAGGTCCCTCAGTGAAAATGCCAGCAAAGCAGGTCTGGGGAGGAGGGTGTCTTGGGATAGCTTGCAAAGCATGATGGCACGGAGCAGCAAAGAGAATTTGGGGAACTTAAATTACTAAGTTTAGGGAGCCCATCATGGGTGAAGGACCCTGTCAGGAAAGGAGGCTGGAGAGAGAGGGTAGAGGAAGGAGGGAAAACTTTGTGTGCCATGTTGAAGAGTTTGAATTTTTTCCCCTATAAAGGAAGGAGGGTCGTGAAGGGGTTTAATCAGGGTTATAAAATGATCAGCTCTGGGCTCTGGAATTTTCTTTCACTCTGGGGCAAATGTGGAGGAGGAAATAATTTGGGGGAGGGTAGTGGTGGAGACAAGGGGGCCTCTGTGATAATCCTGATGAGCAGTGAAGGGGAGTTAAACTATAGGATAATAGCATTAAGGATAGAAGAACCAAGATACTTTTACAAAGTGTGTATATTTAAAGAATATTTTGAATGCTGGGTGCAGTGGCTCATGCCTATAATCCCAGCATTTTGGGAGGTCAAGGCAGGTGGATTGCTTGATCCCAGGAGTTAGAGACCAGCCAGGGCAACAGGACAAAGTCCTGTCTTTACAAAAAATATAAAAATCAGCTGGTGTGGTGGCGTAAGGTTGTAGCTCCAGCCACTCAGGAGGCTAAAGTGGAAGAATCTCTTGAGCCTGGGAGGCGGAGACTGCAGTGAGCTGAGGGCCCCGTGCCCGCCAGCCTGAGCAACAAAGTGAGACCCTCAAAAAAAAAAAAAAAAAAAAAGAAAGAATATTTTGAAAGCAGAATAATATTATAGACTATACTGGAAAAGCATGGTATTTAAAGGTATTTGATTTTTTTGTAAGTAAATAAAAAGATACACAAACACACACACAAATTGTCAGACCCAAATTCCCCAAGTTTAGGTGTTTGCCTTCAAATTTTCTTCAAATCAGAGAGCCTATATAATTGATTATTAACAAAGTACAATACGTAAAATTTCCAGGTAACTCATTATACTTTTGATATCTGAAGAGAATCGTTGACAGAGCTTTCTCAAAGTATTTATTAAGAAATGGAAAAGTGTCAGTTTCTGCCGAGATTTTGATGACCCTTTGCTTAAATCTTGGTTCTCCATGGAATACATTGTGATTTATGTTTTTGTTTCAGAAAAAGGTCCAAGTATGAAGGAACCAAATCCAATTTCTCCACGTAAGTCTTTATGCAGTTATTTTGAAATAAAACCTCCTGGGCTTTCCTAAGAATGAGTTGGTTAGTGAACATTTGCCAAACTTTGAGTTTTGATAAGGAGACTTCTGCTCTCATTCTCCCTTCCCCTTTCCTCTTTTTGCTCATAGTTTTTTCCTTTCCTCTGTCCTTTTTTTTATCCCTGCTTTCTTTTTCCCTTTCCACCTTTACTATTTTAAAATATTAATTTGTTGATCCATTGGCATGTATGGCTTAAGTGGAAAGGTAGTAACTTATTTAAAGAGATAAGTTAATGACTTGCATTCTTGTATCTGTTCTGACCTGAAAGTCTTCACAAACAGCCGTGGGAGTGGTTTAAGTCTTATCAACAACATTTATTTGCTCAGAGAAGTAACCTAAGGGAACTCATTGCTATACTTTCAAGACAATCTGTAGTGCAAGGGCCAGAGGCACCAGGGAGAGCATGTAAGAATGAAAGGGAAAGCAACACCAATTACTACACAAGGAGAACTTGGAAATTGTCTAGGCCAATTTCATTGTTTTATGTGGAAGAAAATGCTGACCCAAAAATATTCCTGCCTCACTGGCATTGAGGCAGAACTTGAACCTGGACTTCCAAGCTGTCCACCCAGAGCTCATCTACATAATGTTTCGTGAGGAGAATTTTTATAAAAATCTGTGCTTTTTTTTCCTTTCCGAAGACTCCCAGGGTTAGTCTCCATGGCTGACTCTTCACTACCTGTAACAATCAGTCTGGAAAGTTCCTTTTACAAAGCGCTTCATAAACCATTCTCTTAAGTGGATTATTATTTTTTAATTATGGAACAATATGAACTCAGAGACATATGGACACATGTCCATCTTTGGAAATTTAGAATACTTTCACTAAAAACTTGTAATCATGTTTAATTTTTGCATCCATGGGTATAAAAAGCAATCATTTTCATTTCTAGGACTAGATTAAATAGGTTGACGGCTCGGTGCCACTTCCCCTCCAGAGAGCTCTTCCCACCTCTCCCTCCATCTAGTAGATCTTCATCCATTTTACAAACTCAGGTGTTGACCCTCTGACTTCAGCAGGTGACTAAAGCTGTCTGCATTTTTCAGAAGTTAAATGAACACAACAAAGAGCACAGAGCTAGAAGAGCGGGGCCCAGAACTTGGGAGTTTGGGTCCCTCCAGACTCGTGTCCACCATGGCATACTTTCCCGAGCCATTGGAGTGCTGACCTGCTCAAACGTTGCAGGAGTGTACGTCAGTCTTCAGTGTAGAAAAAATAGCTTTCTTTACATTGAAGTGAGTTGAAAGGCAAAGGGACTTAGTTTATATAGAGGTCACTGGAGTTGCTTCTGATTGGAGCAGAAAGTAGAAATAGTATGAAAAATAGTGGGGAGATCCTGTATCTCCCACTTGTATCAAAACTCAGAGACCTTAGAAATTGTATTCTACCAAAAACCCCTCTCCCTTGGAAACCAATTTTAACTTTTTATAAGTGACTCAAAGAAGGTAGTTCTCTTAAATGAAAGGAAATGTTCTATTTCTGGGGCCTGGAATTAATTTCAGATATAAAAATCTTTGCCAAATAGAGAAACAATTGGTTCTATTTATATGTTTTGCTGACCATAAAACTGACATCACTCCCCACTGGGAAGTATTTCCGTTCCCCTCATAGAAAGATCACGGTTGGAAAAGTGTTAAAAAGTAGGTTGTTTTAAATGACACAATATGAAGCCGTTAAGAGTTTGATATGAGGAGATTGGTGGAATAGCTTATTTTTGTCCTATATTTTTGTCCTATATTTTCTTCTCCTCTCTTTGTTATCTTTCATATTTGTAAATGTTCATGAAAATATGTGTATAAAGTATTCTAAAGTGTGTGTTTTCTGTTCAGTGTCTCATTTTTGAAGTTGTTCAATGAATAAGCAGTAATAAGCGAGATTTTGATCATGGAAGTTCACTTTATTTTTCAAAGCATCTTAACCTGTGAATTTTCAAGCCACCCTCCATTCAAATAGCAGGTCCTCAGAGCAAGACAATGAAATGACAGACTTAAGATTTTACAGTTTTTGTAAATCTGATTTTTTACTTTGTTCATCAAAATAAATTACAAATTGAGAATACCTTGGAAACCTGATAATTTCATTTCTCTATTGAAAAAAATTTGCAAGTTACAAAATAGTGTATTTTATTGGGATTCTCATTGAATTCTCAGATTTTTATTAGTGCTCACCCTTTATGACAGTGCTTGTGAAACAAATATAAAATTCCAATGTATGATGCAGACTAACTGAAAAGTTGTGTATATTGGTTTCTCTCCTTTATAGCAATTTTCCATGGTCTGGACACCCTAACTGTGATGGGCATCGCGTTTGCAGCCTTTGTGATCGGAGCACTCCTGACAGGGGCCTTGTGGTACATCTATTCTCACACAGGTTAGTGTGACTGTTGAGTATGAGTTGCCAAACAACTTGTGTTCCTGCTACACACTAGACACTCAGTGTTTTGTTGGACAAAATAACAAATGAAAGAGAAAGTTCATTCCTACTATTTTTATATTTACATACTTGGCATAAATTGTGTTTTACAAAAATATAATTTGTCATAAACAGTAGATAGAAAAGGAATGTTTAAACTGTTTGTGCCAATTGCAGTTGTGATGTTGGTGAAATTTAGCTGCGAATAAAGCTACTTGGTTGTTAGAGTTTAGTTAAAGTAGACAATGTATAAAAATGTAAATCATTCCATCAAAACCAAAGACTTAAGGATAGGCATATAAATGAGAGGAAGTGAAAAAGGAAGCCATGATTTTACCACACCTGTCAAGGTATTGAGCACTGTCCATCAGAGTCCCTAATCAATGACTTAAACCAGATTTTCTCAACCCATGCTGTGACTTCTCTGATAAAACATACAATTTTCATGTTTTTCTATAAAGTTAAATTTTTAAAATAGATTTCCATGAACTGAAAAAAAAAAAATGATGAAACAGAGCACTTCATTTTCAAGCTGTTATCCCTCAGTCTTCAAATCTGGATGTGCCCTCTCTACCAATCCCAAGGTGAAACGTGCTAGCCTGATGAGAGAACCCTTTCTGACCCCAATACAGAATGCAGGCCAGCAAAGGGAGTCATTAGTACAATGGAGAAAGAACAAATGGATTGCCCTGCGATTGCTTCTTTCTTAGTTTCCTTACAACTATGGGAAGGAGTGACATACATTTTGAGGCATTCCAGAGAGCTAATTGGTCTTGTTCTTGTTTGTTCTTGGATCCTTGTAGTTTTACACTGTGAACCTAGGTGAGCTGTGCTAGATTGATCCATCAGAAGCAAGTGGCAGGCCCAGCCTCTCTGTTTAGAATTTCATTAATTGTCCACCGAACCAGTGGATGTCACGATCTTTAGCTAACCCTTGGGCCAAGCTGAAAGGATCACTGATTTAAAGGGGAAAGAAGTACTGAAGGGTATTTTAGAGTCCTATCTTGACCCTCTTGATTGCTAGGTAAAACCTCAAGCTATTGAGAATAAAAACATGACACAGTGATCTTCTGATAGTTAAAAATGGCAGATTCTTTTTCATCAGAATTTTTACTTTAAATATGACATCTCCAGACTGAGGTATTTTAGATTATGCCAGAAGGAGAGGAATGGACTCTTTCATGCCTACCATGGGACATTCAACGAAAAGTCAGCCCCTTGGCAAAAATTTAGAAGACTTCAGTAGAGGGGCTTTGAGTCCTCAGATGCTTGTTCCTAGTCAGCATACTTTTAGTGAGGTATGTTTATGTGAAAGAGAAAAAAATGACTCCTCATAATCCTAGCATTTTGGGAGGCTGGGACAGGAGGATCGCTTGAGCCCAGCAGTTCAAGACCAGCCTGGGCAACATGGCCAAACCCTGTCTCTACAAAAAAACACAAAAACTAGCATGGTGTGGTGATGTGCACCGCTCATCCCAGCTGGCTGAGGTGGGAGGATCGCTGGAGCCTGGGAGGTAGAGGCTGAGAGGCTGTAGTGACTAGTGGTGCCACTGCACTCCAGCCTGGGTGACAGAGCAAGAACCTGTCTCAAAATAAATAAGACTCCAGTGTCATGATTCCGAATATTAAATAACCATCTGTGAATCAGTTTAGGGCATTCTCCCTCATGAACAGTTTATAAAAGGACCAGAAAGACAGAATTTAGCAGAGCAGCATTTTAAAGTAAGTGATTTTGTCACAGGAATACTGACATGTTCAGTTCTCAAGCTAACAAATCTTTGCAACTTTTCCGATCTTCTGCCTGGCTGAGAGGTAGGGCTGTTGGCAGCCTATGTTGTCTGTTGGGAACGAGTTTGAAAGTACTCCAAGAAGACTGGGCTGCCCACAGATGTTTACCATGTGCCTTCTCAGCCACTGACTGGCCTTGGTCATACAGCTGCACTCTCAAAGCTAATCTTGGGCTAGGAAGCCAGGTCCAGACAGAATATAGGGCAACCAAATTTCCCCCACTACTGGAACATGCTCCACTAAAATCCCCCAATAATCCAGACCCTTACCCACAGCCAAGCACACAAACCCAATAAAAAGGAAAGCTTGGTTATATGGCGTATATTGATGCTCATTTTATTTGGAAGTCTGTTGTTACTGATCCTTTTTTCCCCAAGCTAGAGATTTCAGGAGGGCCTTTAAAGTACTGTTAATGTAGAAATAGGTTTGTAAGTAAATTTAAGAAAAATGAAACCAAAAACCTCCCCTTGTGATGCCTTCTAGCAAAATGAATTACACTGATTCAGAAGGTAAAAGGTTTATAGACACTGCCATTTGGGCTTAAAATCCATCGGCATCACTTATGAGACAGCTTCAAAATTACTTTTTGTTAAAAACTGTAGCCTCTAGTTTATTTTATGGATTGCTTTTGAGGAATACCAGTGTCATACAAGCATGAAGAAGACCCACTTCAGGACCAAATGATAGTTCTTGTCCAGAACCCCTCAGTTTCTTACCTGGCTCGGCTAGCAGCAATTTAAATTAATAGGGAAAATTATAATGCAGTGGGCAATGGGGACAGCTAAGATACAAACACTGGCCCAGTCCATTCAATTTCTACAGTAGTTGAAGCTGTGGAACTCATAGATCGTACATGCCATACTTGGGGGTTTAGACAGCATCTGCCACTATGTAAAAAACAGTCCTTAATTTGGATGACTTTCCCTTTGTTTACGCTTTCTATTCCATGTGCAGCACAGAGCACAAAACCAAGTCACGTATTTGGATTCTGGATATCTACTTACATACCTGGAATGTGTGTTAATCTATAAAGGCTGGGTTCCCACTTTATCATATGACAACTGTGGGCACAATAGGAGATATTATTCCCTAAGGCTGTATTAATTCTGTTGGGAAAATTCCGTTCCTAAAACTTACATTCTCTCCTAAGATGCTGTAGAGAGGAGGGGTGCTTGGGGGCTGAAATGGTGCTGGAATCATAGAATCTTCATGCTCCTAGGGACCCTACCTGGTTCAGGGGCTTCTAACTTCTAGTCTGTGAAGGTCCCTCAAGTCATATGCAAAATCGTATCTGTTTTTTTCTTGAGGGGAGGAATAAATGCTTTCATTTTTATTTGCTAGTAAAACTTTTTAGCTTTATCAAAGTAGTACATGCAAATAGTTTAAAGGTTGAAATAATTCTACAAGACTTGTTATTGAAAAAACAGAAAGAAACAAACCCCTACTGCCCCTACTTTCTTTTCTCACTCCCAAGAGCATTATTTTTGACACTTAGCTCATCGTTTTGGACATTAATCTGTACTTCTGAATAACATGAGTGTATTGCTGCTTCTTGACTTTGCAGCTTTAGACCTTTTCTCTAGACCTCATGTTAAGGAAAATGTCCCCTTCTCCCACCATCCTCTTAATAGAAATATACTGACATTTTGGTTAGATCAGCATTTACTCTTTACATTATTATGACTACCTAAACGCTAATCACAATTAAGTCGTGTAGTATAATATCCTGTATGATTTTTAATTTTCCCTATAATTCATTATCTTTCCCCACCCTACCCCATTAATCTTCTATATATTTATCATTAATTCATCTGCTGACCCTGCCAGCTGTCTCACTCTCCTCTTAATACGTTGAGACATATGGAATGTTGTACTGATTCCTTTTCTTCAGTAACTCTTTCCTGGAGCCCCTGACCTGCTTCTGTCTGAACTGGTTCCATTTCTGGATGCTGCCGTCTTCCTGTATTCTTCATTGCTTCCATTCTGTGCATTCCCTTCACTTCTGAGTCGTGGATGTCCTGTGTCATGCATCTCCTGCCTTTCTTCTTCCTGATTTAAAGCGTACATAGAAGGCAAATGTTTTTCACACTTGGCATGTCTGAAAATACCCTCATTTAACAGAAACACCTGTTAGTTTGGCAAGATACAGAATGTTAGATTACACTTTTTCCTTCAGACTTTTGAAAGCCCTCCTTGTTGTCTTCTAGCTGTGAGGATTGCTGTTGAGAAGTTCAGAGCTATGCAGATTCCTGATCCCTTTTGTATGTGACCTGCTTTTTCTTTCTGGAAGAAATTTTACAATCATATCTCTTGAGTTAGGTGTATCTTTATACATTATGCTGGGTATTAATTGGGTCCTTTCAGTTTAGAAACTCGTATCTTTCAGTACTGAAATTTTTAAGAATGATTTATTTTCTCATCCCCTTTTTCTGTTTTCTCTCATTTTAGAAATCATTTTATTTGAAAGTTGAACCTCTTGTCCTTTAATGTTTCTTTCCTGTTATTCATCTTTTTGCTTTATTTTCTGGGAGATTTTTCTCATCTTTATCTTTCAGTTATCTACTGAGTTTTTAATACTGGCTTCAAATTTTTTTATTCCAAGAATTTTTTCCCCTATGAATTTCTTTTCTTTAAAAAAAAAAAAAAAAAAGTCCTATTCTTGTTTCATGGATGCAGTGTCATCTGAGAATATTAATGTAGGATTATTTAGGAATAAGAACATTCAAAACTTGTGAGTGGGACATAGTAATTGTGAACTCCCTTAGAGTAATCTGCCTGGGCCATTTTATTGATGAACCCCTGATATCTCATCATTGGATCTTTCCTCTTGAGCTCATCAAGCTTTCATAAAGTATATTTTCCTGTTTCCTACTTGCAAGGTATAGGACTGGCTGTTGAAAGACCTTTCTAATGGGCATTGATTAAAATAAACTGACATGGCAACAAATTATATTTGGCAGATAGACATTGGAAAGCAAATATTCGGACCTCCCTGGCAGAGTATAGTCCTGGCACTTTTCCCAAATGCAAATAATCAAGCACATGGCAAATTCTGGAGGAGATAAACTTGTTGCATAGTTACAGTCAGGACTGGAACCCTACTTTCTTGATTCAAAGTTTCACTGTTGTTAAATGAGGCAAGGCCATCTTGCTTTAGCTCCTTTTAGGCT